ACATAACAGCAAAACATAAGCAAATTTTATCTGAATTCTGTCATGAATATACATGTTGCAGTAACATCAGAAAAGCATGGCAGCCCGTTTCACACCAGTGAGAACAGTTTGTGCAAATAGTGGGTCTTTGTGTGTTTGAACGCCCACCATGGAAGGGCAAACTCAATATGCATGCTAACGACCTATAATTACCAAATAAAAAGGAGAAAAATGCTAAAAGGATGCCAGAGTGAACAGCAGGGAAAGCCACACAAAGACCCACTATCCTTGAACTTGTTACAAGTAAAATTTAACTGTAAACTAGAAACACAAAGAAATAATCACAAGTGGCTCTAACATCCGACCGAAGCAAATGAATTGTGTAGGAGACATTGGATCAGGGCTGCTGCCCTGCCTCCACGCTAGTCAAACTTGGATAGTGGGTCTCTGGGGTGCTTTCACACTGGAAGACAACACTGGGTCCTAAAAAAAGAAAAATGAGGAATAAAATGAACATAATGTAAATTAAGTAGGTGAGAAAACAACTTGACTAGTCATAACATGCAATAAGGCTAGCAAGTATCACTTATTAAACAAATTTGATCTATTAAAAGTCTCAGCCTTTAAAAAAAAAGTCCCAGTTACATAATGAAAAAGAAAATACTATTGAAAGAGCCAAAGAACCACAAATGATTATCTGAAATTAACTAGCTTTCACTAATGCATACAAAGAATACAAACAGCCCATTCATTTCTCAGGATCTAGGTAAGTACGAGGAAGATCGCCAGTCCAGCCCAACTTTGAGGATTAAGCAGTTTCTAAACCACATCCATATCATGTACTAAAGTTATGGGTTTCATGGCTATCAGCACAATTAACCCTAGTCTTTGGCTTTTTAATTTTCTTTAAAACAGTGAGGACACTTCAATTTACTTTTTTTTTTTTTTTGACTCTTCAATAATAAAGTTAAAATCAGAATTCTTTGCTCTCCCAGATAATTTAAACAACTGTTTTACCTAAACAATCAACTTTTTGGGAAGAATCTACTTGGGAATTGTTCTCAGAGATTTTAGAGACAGAATATTCCACAATAGCTAACAAGCCTGCAGTCATTATTTAAGCAAAACAATATTCAACTTTTATATCTGAAAAAACTAATGAAACATGCACATACATAACAAATCCCAGCAAAAAGCAAGATCATAGGGAAAATTTTGCTAATTATTTTTTATAACTAAGAAAATTTTGAAACTACTTCTATTTTTGCATTAACCTCCTGAACACTCCCTCGGTAATAATATGTTAAATGATTCCTCATCTCTTTCCCACTACCGTCTCAGGACCACTCCCCAGCCACCAGTCTCCAACACCTGCTTTTCCAACACACTGTTTTATTGATCTTTCATTTTTCACTTAAAATACTCTCAGTGTTGACTAACTGGACATTCATTCTTTCCAGAGGTCTGGGACCTCTTTCCCAGTATATATTTGTGCGCACATCAACGGTAACAATTACTGTGTTTATCTGTCTGTTCTCTTAAAAAACCGTCTCACTGCCGTGGAGTTGGAACTGACTCCTGGCTAATCCTCTGACGGGCTTTCTGAGGCTGTAAATCATACAGAGGATTGCACATCTTTCTCTAGGGGAGCCACTGGTGGATTTGAACGACTAGAGAGGTGTGGCCTTTGGGTTAGAAGCACATCTCTTACCAACCACGCTATGTAAGGTAGCAATCTGTTCTCACCTGGACTCTATTTAAGCCACTTTAGAACACAGACTGTCTATAATCATTGTATTCCTAATACTTAGTACATAAAAGACTGTCAAAGAATACTTCAGGAATAAATTTCTTAATAGTAGAATCATTAAAGGTAAAATCTGAAGTACATGGGACCTTTTGTTCCTTTAGGATCACTATGTAAGCTAGGAATAACTGCAAAACTTGTTATGTACCTTCTAGTCAGAAATGACTCACAGCTGGTCCTCCAGCAGAGGCTTATTCAGAGCACTAAACGGGGCGGGGGGGGGGGGGAACCCGGACTGGCCACCCTTATCCTGTGGAGCAGCTGGTGGATTCGAATCATGTGCACTTGGGTTGGCAGCGTGACTCCTTACCACTAAGCCAGAGGTCCCTGGCTACAAGACTACTTCACCTCTTCTATTTATTTCTATGTTTCAATATTGCCATTTCCTTATTTTAGTTCAGGAATGGCCTGAAACTGGCTGCCCTACTGGAGCTGTGCTGTCCCATGTGGTAGCCACTAGTCAGTCACAAGTGGCTACAGAAATCAGAATGAATTAAAATGTCATTAAAATTAAAATTTAATTGAACACTGTTTTCTCAGTCACATTAGCCATACTTCACACACTAAAAAGTTCCATGTGGCAGTGACTACTGCATTGGATGGTGTAGATATAGACCATTTCCGTCCCTGTGGGATGTTCTAATGGAGCGATGTTTGAGAGCCTCATCTGGGGGAAGGAAGACTGACATGCTACCAATTCCGTCCATGCTAAAATGGCAGAACAACTTGCCTCCAGAAGATCTATGAACTTTGATAAATGTCTATAGTAGTAGAGGGGCTTCTGGCCTTTTGTTCATAGGGTCGCTATGAGTCATGCTCAACTCAAAGGCAATCAACAACAACAGACAGAAGTACTTTCCATGGCAAGTAAATCTTGAGATAATGAATTAGTGTCTAGATTTCTACTGTAACACCTGTGAAGCAAAGGTTTACTCACAACCTATCACAGTTTCTTCTGCAAATGAAAAGATAACACTGAATTAACTTTCCTAGGAGGTCGTTATTGTCTTGAAGCAGATTTCTCTAAGAGTGATTTAAAAATTCTTCACAGAGGAAAACGTGAAAAGGACTGTCACAGAAGCAAAGAAAAGACAGAGAATGCCTCAGAGTTTGGCCCCTGCTATCCTGTCCTTTAGAACAGCTTTTATTTGCTCTTTATATGATTGCATTTAAGACTTAAATGAGGAGGGGGAGTTTTCCACCATTGGAAAATCAGATAAAAAACTCAAAGCCTTTGCAAATGATTATTTTAGAGCACAGAATGATATAAGATCCAAGTGTACTGGCACGAGGAAATGGTCCCCGGGATCACAGGGGAAGATCCTGACCATGAGGTCTCAAAACAGCTCCTCCATTCTGAAAAAGGTGTGTTAGGTGCTTGTAAATGATTAGGTAATAAACAGGGCAAGCACTGGAAGCTGTCAACTATCAGCAACACAAAATAGTCATTCCTTAGGTAGCCATGTTATTGGAATTTTTCTTGCCATTTTTCTTGAACCCTAGAGACTGCGGAATGCTGTTACTGTTGCTAGGTGCTGTTACTGTTGCTAGGTGCTGTCGTGTCAACTCCGACTCACAGTGACTGTAGGTACCAACAGGAAAACATCCTGTGCCACCCTAGCTCACAACTCTGCTGGGCTTTATCCCACTGTTGCAGCCCCTGTGTTGCTGCACCAAGATGAGGGTCTTCCTCCCTTTCACTCAGAATCATGCAATGTTCAGACTCCCCCTAGGTCTAAGATGGGAAATGCAGTTGTGTGGTGGTTGTGTGCTGTCGTTGGAACCGACTCATTGGTGAACCTCAGGCAGGCTTTTAGAGACAGTTTTTTAAAATTGCACAGGAGGAGATTGCCCATCCTTCTCCTGCAAAGCAGCTGGTGGACACCAACTGCATGCTGCGCAGCTTCTTACCACTAAGCACCACAACTCACCAGGATTAGATCTATATAATTTTTAGAGTAAAATAAAGATTATAAATAGAAATGATGTGCTATAATGTCAGTGTATGGTATATGGTATAGTCAACACATTATAAAGTCATCTGTACGGATTCATTAGTGTATCTCAGTTTTGACTGAGTTACTATTTACATGTTCTCAGCAACTAAATAAAAATGAAAGGCTAAATCTTTAGGTAATTTCACCAGAGGAATGAAAATACGATGATATACTTTGCAAAAAGAACAAAAAAATAATCAGAAATGCAGGAAGGCATAATATCCAGTTTATAAAGGTAAGAAGAATCTCTTAGTATTTTTTTTTTACTTTCTAATTTATTATTAATGCTGTGTTTGTTGTTGAATGTAAGAATAACTAAGGAACAACCAAGAGATTAATTTTACATAACACCAAATTTCACACTTTGAGATCTGGACCCTTGTTCTATTAACAGTGAAAGTGATCTTGCTTTGCATAAGACATTTCTGATTGCTTGAGAAGGGAACCCTGGTGGTACAGTGGTTAAAGTATTAAGCCACTAGTCAAAAGGCCAGTGACTCAAACCCACCATCTGCTCTGAGAGAGAGAGATGAGGCTGCCTCTTCCTGGGAAGACTTACAGCCTGCAAAATCCCATGAATGGGTCTGCTCTATCCTGCAGGGTTACTGTGAGCTGGGACCAATCTGATAATAGTATGTCTGGTTTGGATTTAGTTCACTGCACGAGATGATTTTTTTACAAATCATCCATTAAGTTTCAAAAGCAAAAATGTTAATATGTAAATATGCAGGAGATGAATGAGAAAGCAGCAAAATTAATGGCATTTTTAAATCAACAAGATTTAAAAAGTTTGTGCGTGTGTGTGTGTAAGTGACTAGTGTAATTAATAAGTTTTTATTATGTTGAAAAAGGCTGAAAAAAGGGTGGTGATATAGGGGAGCTGCAGTGTAGCTGCTGTTACAGCAAAGAATTAATCCATAAGAGAAATTATATTTTTATCAGTATGATTATCATTTATACTTTATCTTTATAAACTAAAATTTATCTTTCTGATAAAGTGTTACAGTAAAGGCTGAAACTAGAAAAACCAGGTATTACAAGTAAAGCTGTAAACTTCAGAGATCTTGTTAAACACTTTTCTATTTTCTTACTTTAAATATTAATACAGACTTGCTAATAACTAAGTTTAAGATCTACTCCAGAATAGTAATACATTTGATAGTGAGTACTAGAGCTTTTCACCTTAGCAGACAGGTAGATAATTTGGTGGTACTCACACTGCTGGCTTGGATCTGACTCTGTTGTCATCTTAACATAGTTTGAAGGAAAGAGACCAGTCACTCCATTGGTTTCTCCTTGCCACCAATCAGGATCATCTTTGTTCAAAACATTGATAAGCTGTCCCTTGGAGAAATTCAGCTCATCTTCATTATTTGCCACATAGTCATACATAGCGATCACTTGACACACTACCAAAAAAAGAAAAAGAATCCACACAACATACAAATTAAAAATCATCCCCTAGGATTTAATTTAACTATAAACATTGAAATTAGGCTAATTTTCTCTTTTGGGCTGTTCCTTGTCCCTATCTCCTTTGCCTATTCCTTATTTTACAAAAATAAGGATTTCCCAACTATAGCTAAACATTCAGAACAGCTTCACTAGGATAACAAAGCAATTTTATTTAGAAACATTTCAAAAAGGAAAGTGGCTCAAGTATCAATGATTAGTTGATTGTTTCTACAGAGTTTTTTGGAAAGGAAAGTCCCAGCAGCAGTGGTAAGAAAAGGATTCTCAGTATTTCTCCCAACATTTTAGCTAATTTAAGAAGTGGCAGAGTTTTAAAATTGATCAAAGATGAAATTCAAGTTTCTCCTATTTCCATACCAGGATGAAAAGCAGGTGGAGTTTTTTCACTATTTGGACCCAAAAGTTTAACATGGCTGGCAGGAAACCATCCTTTCTGTCGCTTTTTCCCTCTGGCCTGGAAAAGTAGCAAAAGAAACATAAAATGAAAAGGTGAGATTAAAAATAATTATTGAAATGAGAAGAGTGCTGTTATACTGTGAGGACTGAAACTCATGTCACAAAACAAAATGTGTATGAATTGTTGACACGCAAACCTATATGCTCTGTAAAACTCTCATTGGAAATACAATGAAAGGCATAATAAATAACTGAGCTATAACATAACATGGGGAAAACCACTGCCAACAACTAGAAGACTCATTACAAGATGCACCTCAGAAAGCTCTTGGAAAAATCTGGCTGAAGATGTCTGTTTGGATGTCTTACAGGCTCTGAGTCATCTGAATACTGCACACAAATGACCTAAAAAGACTTGTTGAGACGTCTCAGGATAAGCTTAAGTCTGTGCCTTTAAAATGGCACAGCCCAACTGAGTATACTTTGTGGGGCTTTGTTAAAATGAATGAAGAAGTTTATAAAATATCTGGAGGGCTGCACTTGCAATTTAAGTTAGGTCTTCAATCTTAAAAGACAATCGGAGATGGAATTCTGAGGTTGTTCAAGTTGATGTGGAGATCTCCCTTTGACAGTGTTTCAGAAAAACCTTAAGACTGTGATTTTAAAACCCTAATACTGTGATTTGTATGTATAAAGCTATATCTGTGGTTTATATTACAATTATATATTGATATTATGTAGGAATATAGCTTATATTTCCCCTTATCTTTTAGTCTACAACGGCTTTTCAGATTTAGCTAGTAAGAACATTTTAGCAGTCAAAGAAGAACCTTCTTTTTGTATCAAGACATATGCAACAAACTTTTATGTTAAGACATTGGAGGACATGAATTGGGCTCATCTCTGTCTGCACCCCTTACCTATTTAAAAAACCTATCTGCTGGGCAGTACTGTCTCAGCACAAGGCCGGGATCCTAGAAATTGCACTGCAAGCCTAAAGCTCTCGGTTCAAGCAAAGACAATGTTTAAGAAGATTACACAACCTTTGATAAACCTGGTTTATTAAATTACATGTTACTGCAAAGAAACTGCATCTGTAAAGGAAACTACAACAATGACTCAAATGTTGAACAGGAAAATACTACAGGGAAACAATACACTAAACTCCTAAGAAACTCCTTAATACACAAATGTTGCTTCCTTCTAAAAAACCTCAAGGCAAATCTAGTACCATTGGGGTAAATCTAACTCAAAGAGACCTTAGAGGACAGAGTGTATCAGCCCCACAGGATCCCTAAGGCTCGAGTTTGTCAGGAAAGCTGGCAGCCTCATCCTTCTCCCATACAGCAGCTGGGGTCTGGTGACTTTTTGGTGATATAATTACACAAAATTGAAAATTATTTTAAAATAAATATTCCTTTTATAATAAAATTGGTAAATACAATTTAAAGATTCATTACCTGTAACTCTCCCTGCCACCATCCACTTGTATTTTTCTTTAGAATCAGTATTAACTGCCCTGGAGCAAGGCTGAGTTGTTCAGAACCAGAAGCCACATACGCTGAAGTGACTTGAGCAATCTCTGAAAAGATGGAAATGAGAATGAAAAGCAAGAAATTATTAATTAAATGCTTCACCAAGGTAAATATTTTACTCTTTGTGTGTGTGTGTATTTATTACTATTATTTATTTTAATCTCTTCATATGGGTTTGCAGAAGAGAAAGTACTGGGGGAAATAATGAATGATTGTACCACACTCTAAGTTCTACATAAGAACCACAAACAATGACCAACACTTTCTTATATTTGTTTAGATTTTTAAAAAATTTTTAATTGTGATTATAATGGAAAGTTTACAGAAAAGTTGGATTTTCATTCATTCATTCTTACTCACTTTCCTCTCTCTCTCTACCAGTTCACTTAAAAGAAAAAATTCATTCAGTGTTGCACAATTTCCTCCCCCCCAGTTCTCTTTGCAAAGTACCTCTTACTGTGGACCACTGCCTTATATATAATGCCTAATAATATATCCCTTCTCACAGTTTTCTCCCTCATCTGTTCCAATACAGTGCTCATTATCTGTCAACTCTTTTCCTATTTTCCTCCCAACTCTCCATGTCAGTCCTGATTCGTAACAGTAGTGTTATGCAGTATCTGTCCTTTTGAGATGGAGAGATTTCACTCAGCATAATGTCTTCAAGGGTCACTCATGTCAGTGCTGCATAGTATTCGACTGTGTAAATATACCATAGTTTTTCTATCCATTAATTTGTGATGGGCACTACTTGGGTTGTTTCCATCTCTTTGCTATTGTGAATAACACAGCAATAAACATAGGTGTGCACATATCTGTTTTGAGTGGCAGTTCTGGTTTCTTTAGAGTATATTTCCAGGAGTGCAACTGCTGGGTCAAATGGTATGTCTACTTCTAATGTTTTGAAAAGGCGCCATACAGCCTTCCATAGTGGTTGAAAACCATTTTACATTCCCACCAACAGTGAGTAAAGGTTCCAATCTCTCCACAGACTGGCCAGCATTTGTTATTTGCTGCACTGCTGAACTTGTTATTGTTGCTGGGGTGAGATGATATCTCATAGTTGTTTTATTTTACTTTTTTTCAGGCTCCTTTTTATACATACCAGGTTTTTTGTTTGATGTTCCAGACTTGCTAGCATTTCCAAAACCCTAAAAAAAAAAAAGTTCTGTTATTTTTCTAAGAATTCAGAAGTAAAAGTACAAAAGTTAGTAGAAATTAGATTTCTAATTCTTAAGATTTTTATTTCTTTATATAAAGGCCAACATGGCAATTAATCTCATACAGAGCTCTACTGGCCTTGTGGCCAGAGAGCTGTACTACCAATCCAAAGGCAGGCAGTTCAAATCCACCAGCTAGTTGCTCCATATAAGAAACATGGGTAATCTCCTCTCACATCATTTACAGCCTCTGAAAATATCCTGGAGGGTTTGCTATAAGTCAGTTCTACCTTGACAGCAAAGAACAACAATAATTATCATCACCAAAGAGATTAAGAATTTCACACTTAAGAGGCAATCTGTTTTACTAACAGAATGCAGTATGTACAAGTGGCTGATGCTGGCATGACTTTCTCAGTAAGAATAGCTTTTCTCAATCTTCCTGAATTTAAAACATGACTATTCAGTCTTATACAACACACTGCCACCACATATAATGCATATGTCTTTGTTGTTGTTGTGTACCGTAGTCAGAACTGATCCACAGCTGACCCTCCAGAGGGTTTTCAGAGGCAGTTAATTACATGGAAGGAGCCCATCCCTCTCCTGTGGAGTGGTGACCTTGAACTGCTTGCCTTCAGAAAGATGAAAGCTTCAGAAAGTAGTTTTGTCTCTGCTTTCTCTAAGGGCTCGTGGCTGGTCTACAACCCTTGCATCTTAAGAGGCAATGTTTGCTTTAATCATGCTGTTTCCTCCCAAACTAACAGAACTTAACTAGTTGTTTGCAGATCTGGGAGGAAAGGAAGGGCTTAAGACATTTCCAAGGAGATAATAAAACAAAAACTGTTTCATAGTAGCACAAAAACAGAAGTTGCCTCTTTGACTGTGCTGACATTTTCCATCATAAGCAAGTTGTTAGTGCCTTAATGTAAATTATTTAAAGGACACCAAATTATATTAGTAACCAATTCCATGATTCACAATTCGTCTTTTATATACATCTTACTAGTTATCTAACCATTTTTTACACTAATGGTCTTATGGAATATTTGTTTTATGAGACTAAGTTAGTACACTCAGGATAATGGTCTCTAGCCTCTTGCCTGTTATATAGTATTTTTCAAAATTGTTGCTCCTTAGTTCTGCATAGTACTGCATCATGTGAATGTACCACAATTTCTCAATCCATCAGTCTGTGAATGGACATTTGGGCTATTTCTATTTTCTGTTACTGTGAATAACACTGCTGTGAACATAGGTATACAAATCTCTGCGTCTCAGTTCTATTTTCGTGAAGTTATATTTCTACCAGTGGAATAGCTGGGTCATATGGAATTTCTATGTTCAGCTTTTTGAGGAAGCGCTGCCTTCCAGAGAGGTTATACCATTTTACAATCCTACTAATAGTGTATGAGAGATTCTATCTCTTCACATTCTCTCCAATATCTATTGCTTGCTGTCCTGTTAAACTTTGCCACTGCTTCTGGGGTGAGTCTGGCAAGTTTATTTGGAAAGCAAAGAGATCTCAAATAAGCAAAGCACTTCTGAAAAACAAAAATGAAATGGGATGCATATTACCTGATCTCAAAACCTACTACAGAGCTGTAATAACCAAAACAATATGGTACTGGTACAATGATAGACACACAGATCAATGGAACAGAATCCAGAACCCAGAAATTAACCAATCTACCTATAGTCAACTGGTATTTGACAAAGAAACAAAACCTATCAAATGGGAAAACAACAACCTCTTCAATAAATGGTGCTGGCTAAACTGGACTGATCCCTGCAGAAAGCATCTCACATCAAACAAACTCAAGGTGGATCAGAGACTTAGGGGTAAAGCCCCAAACCATAAAGATCATAAGACACAAAAATGGGAATAACTTAGAAGGCCTACCCTGTGGTATAAAGAGATTGACAAGTACTGGCAGAAAAACACAACCAGGTGAGGATAAAATTGGTAACTGGGACCCTTTAAATATTAAATCCTTCTAATCCTGCTCTGCTGGAGAAGAAGTAATCTCCTCATGTGCAAGTTGGATTTGACTTGACAGTACACAAAAAGAAGAGAAAGAAGGAAAAAAAGTAATTAAGATTACATGTATATAAAAATTTTTTTCCAATACAGTGAAAAGAAAACGAACTGACTGGGGGAAAAACCCACATTTGGCAATACCATCTGAGGTAAGGGTCTCCACAAGAGAAAAACTGCTACTGCTAACTCAAGTAAAAAAATGGGCAAAAGGAATGGAAAGCCTTTTCATGGAGGAAAATATTCAAATGGCCAACAGACTCATGAAGAAATGCTGAAAATCACTGGCAATAAGAGAGATGCAAATCAAAGTACATGCCTTTGAAAAATCTATGTGACTAACTGAAGTGTTTATAAAAATATTTCTATTTCATGATGAAGTTCAATGGTTGCCTTGAGGAAAAAATCTTAATCATGTGATTAAGTTGCAAGCTGAACTAGGTTTTCAGGGAACAATAGTTTTATTTGAAAGAACAACTTAAATGTTATTCCAACTTGGGATTTGGCAGACATTTTCTCCGAATTAAGTAAGCTTGTTGCTTCAAAGAAAACAGTTGACAGATTTGCTGTCAGTGGTAAAATTCAAGATTTCCAATGAAAATGTAAATTTTGAAAAATCTGTATCCACTATCTTGAGCCTGACAGCTTCTTGGTACTAACCACTGTACCGATGAGATTAGGGGGAAAATTAACAACTGGTTTCTTTTTTTTAAAATGAAATGTGTCAACACAGGGAATAGCTGTATTCATTATTTTCCAAAGAACTAATGAATGATATTATCACATTCCACATGAGTAAAAACAAATTTTCATGTAACTACAAAAAGTTCACAGCTAAGGTTTTAGATTCCATGTTGCAGATAGTTTTTAACAATCTACCACTTGTCGAGTTTTGGTGTAATGAAGGAAAAGACAAATATGCAGATATGTGAAAATGTTATTAAAATTCCCCTCTACTTCCCCTTGCATGTGTGAAAAATCCCATTTTCTTCATATACTTTAATGGAAACAATAGATTTTAACAGACTGAATGCAAAAACAGTTATGAGAGAGAATCTAGTTATTAGCCAGATATTAGAGAAGGAAAATATTCCATTTCTAGTTATCTTTCATGGAAACATGTGACAGTTTAATGTTATTTTAAAATGAATTAATAAATATTTAAACCATTTCAGAGCTTTAATATCTATTATAGTAAGTATCACTGGCATAACTCCTTCTCTGCTAGTTCTTCAACAGTTTTTAAAGTAAAGAGGTCTTGAAACAGAAAGTTTCAGAGCCACTGCACCAGTTTCTATCACACTGGTGGTGAGGTGAGAAGCAGCAGGAACTTGAGTGCATAAGGCTGAGGCCCAGGAACGGCAGAGCCTCCCGTCAGGACTTCACTGTGCTCCTCTGCAAGTTTCTCTGGATCCAGAACCATTCCTCAGCTTCAGTCACCTGATTTAATGAACCCTGTCTTCTTTATTGCTTTAACTGGATCCTTATAAGAAATTGTTTCTTTTTATAGGAACTTTTTTGAGTCGCAAGGGACCCTCTTGGTATCACAGTTAAAAAGTTCGATACCCAAAGAAAGTCAGATAGTTCCAACCATCAACCACCCTGGGAGAAAGACGTGGTAGATCTAATTCAATAAAAATTTAAAAAACTCCACATGTCATACACACCAGCACAGAGCTGGCTCTGACACAGGACGGGCCTGTCAGTGTGTTTCTGAGGCTGGAAAGCACTTGGGAGGAGGCTTTCTCCCAATGGAGCCACTGGTATATTCAGCACAGCCTTTGGGTTAACGGCCTCCACCCCCAGAGCTCCTCTCTATAACAATTACAGATTAGCCGGCAGGCTCACAATCAGAACCAACCCTACAGGAATGGTCTGGCTCACCTTGAGATTCTTATTTGTTACCAAAGGCACAAATTTTAAAAAATGAGACACTGTGTTGTAAATATAAATCTTAATCAATAAGAATGGAATGATTTTCATTTCTATAGCAAAATAACTTTACCTCTTGATCTTTTGGTTTGACATAGTTTGATGGAAAAATTCCAGTTCTTTCTCCAATACTTCCTGTCCACCACTCTCCATCTTTCTGGGTCACTAATATCTCTTCACCTTCAGTGAAAGTCAGATCTCCAGGTTCTACACTTGAATATGGATAAAGTGCAATGTACTCTTTAGGGAACAAACCAAAAAGAAACGGATTTTGGTTGTAAGTTGCAGAAGTGGAAAAATATTGATACTGACAGAACACTGGCAAAACCACAAACATTTTAATTGAATAGCCTATAGGCATCTATAGAAATAAAGTCCTTTGTAACATTTGTGAGAAAAATATATTCTGATTTTGAACACTACTTAATATATACATGACACACTGTAACCAAAATGTAATGTTTAAACAAACATCTATAATTTGGACATGCTATCATGATGACAAGAAAAGCTTCATTCTATCTCAACATAATACATTTTTTATCTATCATCCTATTTACTGAGGAAATCTATGATGAGTTTTTATATCACCACTTTTTAAAAATAGAAAACATCTTTAGCCATATTTTTAGTATAGGCTCAATATTTGCATGAAATAGAGAACAAGTTTTCCTAATCTCATTTGAGAAACTGAAGCAGAGAGAATAACAACTGTCAGGTAATTAAATAGCCAATACTAACAGATACCCATCTTACTTACAAATTGCCAAAAGCTTACCTTCTCCAACTGTATAAGCTGCAGAGGTAGGTTTCTTGTTTACAGCCGCATACAAAGCTTCTGGTCTGCCAAATAAACAAATTGTTTGTTTGTTTTTTAAAAAAGAAACCCAAGAAAGGTCATATGGTGAATACAGTAGGTATTACCAGTATATTCTTTTAAGAATTTCCAACATTATTTTAAGCATTGTCTCGCTACGTAGATTAGAAATAATTTTCATACATAAAACATTGGATTTTAAATGGTTTAAATATAAATTCCTCAATTTTAATTATACTAAAAGAATTGAACATAATTTGAAGAGTACTTTAAATGTGAGATATTTTGTCTTTTTTTTTAACACTTAAAATATCTCAGCAGTTGAGCACTTTAACCACCCTTGTGTGCGCCACTGAGTTGGCACTGCCTCACAGCTGGATTTTCAGAGGCAGTAAATGGCTCAGGAGTTGAATGTCCATTTCCACTGTGGCGCAGCAGGCAGACTAGAATCACATACCCTTGGACTGACAGCGCAACCCTTCACCACTACGACACTAGAGCTCCCTTTAAACCATTACATCACTATTATTATTAATTAACTTCTAAATCTAAAATTCCATGACAGTCTGAAAAGTTTCTGTACTTCAACTAAAAAACTTATACATAAACAGTATTAAAAGAGCTCTTAAAAATGAAGATTTAACTCAATCACTAAAATGAAGACCAAGAAGATTATTCCATACATACAGTCAAAACAGCAGAATCAGAACTCAAGTCTTTTGAATTTCAAAGAGAAGCCCCTTTTCTACTTAGAATGCAAGAAACATACATTACAGCATCTATCATATTGTACTAAAGATACTTGACAAACGGATAATCCTCTAGACTGGGAAATGAAAGGCAAATAAAAGGAAATAAAACTTAGTTCTTCATCATTTGAAAGTTCAGTTGTCAGCTCCTACTTCATTCCTGATATAAAGGAGCAGATGCTAGGAGCACTGTTGTTGCTGATGCTATGTGCTGCCGAATCCGAACCAACTCCTAGTTGACCCTCCAGTGGATTTTTAGAGGCTATAATTCCACGGGAGCAGAATGTCTGTCTTTCTCCTGTAGATCAACTGGTGGGGTCAAATCATGTGTCTCCTAGTTGGCACAACTCCTTACCATGAAGCCGCCAGAGCTCCCGAAGTAGTAGACATGGAGAAACAAACCAAAAATAGTAGTAATAGCAAAAAAAGAAGAGGGCTCTACCAAGATCTGATCAGAGATATGAGTAATAAAGTAACTACAATACTATGTGGTGTTCTTCCTCCTTGGATTGATACAGTAACTGGGGTAATGGGGGTAGGTGTGTCTGAGTCAGTGAGACTGGCTTAGGATAGGACAGGCTTCAGAGCTGTTGTACATAGGGTTGCTATGAGTCACAGGTGACCTGACAGCACATATGCTATGAGCAATAAGAGATTATGTTCATGGAACCTTAGAGGCCTAGAGATGGGAATGCCCAACTGTGGTAAAGAGAAGGCCCTTCGGAAAGATTTCTTTTGGAAAGGTGCAGCCGGAATGCTCTTTAGAAGCAAGAATGAGGAGGCTTTGGCTCACATACTTTGGGCAGGTTGTTAAGAGGGGCTATTATCTGAAGAAGGGCATGATGGAGAGAAGGGTGGAGGGTCAGGAAGGAGAGGAAGACCCTAGACCAGGTGGACTGACATGATAACCACTACAATGGGCTCTTGTGTTTCAGGAAGTGTGAGGATGGCACAGGATAGAACAGGGTTCACATCTTTTTGTTGATAGGGTCACTACGAGTTGTACTGGACCTGATGGCACCTAAACAATAACTATAAAAACAAGGAGAAAATGAAAAGATAATCTCTCTAGACTTCTACCCAAACTCACTGCCTTTGAGTTGATTTCAACTCATAACAATTCTCCATCAGTTTTCTGAAGTTGTGAATATTTACAAGAGAAGACTGCTCAACTTTCTCCCAACAAGAGGCTAGTGGCTTCAAATTAATGATCTTTTAGTTTTAGGATATACTGCATGAGACAAATCTGCTGTCCAGGACCTTTTTAAAGTGCCAAGAGGAAGGATGCCAGTTTAAAGACTAAGGTTTGCCTGATCAGAGGGTAAAGCCTTTTCAATAACTGTCTATGCATCTGAAAGCTGAAAAAAGAACGGATTCCTCTGAACTGTGGTGTAGGAGAGGAGTACTGATTATCCCAGAGACTGCATGGCAAACGCATACGAAAGTTGGCCAATAAATAAGGAAGATCAAAGTATCAAAGTCTTTGAATTGTGGTTTTAGCAAAGAGTCTTCAGCATGCGATGAACTACCAAAAGAATCAAGAAATCTGTGCTGGAGTAAGTGCAGCCAGAGTGCTCCTTAGAAGAGAGGATGGTAAGACTTGTCTCACCTACTTTGTGGATGCAATCATGAGGGACAGTGTCTAGGAATGGACATCATGCTTGGAAAAGCTGAGGGTCAGTGAAAGAGAGAAAGACCCTGGACAAGGTAGACTGACATAGTAACTACAACTGTGTGCTTGATCAAGCACAACACAGGACGGTGCACCATCAGGCAAGGCCCCGCTCTGCTGTGCACAGGGTGCTGGAGGCGAGAGCCTGCTCTGCGGTACTCAGGGTGCTGGGAGGAGAGGCCCTGCTCTGAGGTGCAAAGGGTGCTGGAGGCGAGAGCCTGCTCTGTGGTACTCAGGGTGCTGGGAGGAGAGACCCCACTCTGCGCTGCACAGGGTGGTAGGCGTCGAAGGGGACCCGACAGCACCCAACAACAAAAACAACAAGCTTATGGAATAAAGGAAAACACAAAAGCCGCCCATTTTGATATTCAAATGCTGAACATAAACCTTTTGTTGTCCACCATACTGTGACTGACTCATTATGAAAACCCCAACATCCCCACCTCCTGTAAGTGCCCAAACATGCTTACTCTTCTCTCTTGACTTCACTCCCAGGGATAATTTTAACATAAGACTTTGGAAACCATCCTCTTCCACCATGTACCTCTCCAAACCACCAATTTTCCTGTTGCTCCAAGACAGTGATAACATCATTCTTGGAGAAGTTTAAGTGGTTATCCTTCTTGGCAGTCCACGAGCAAAGGGCCTGGGCTTTTAAGTTTTCTACAACCTGTCCCTGTGAACAGAAAAAATACAAATATTTTTTAAAAAACCACAAAACCCAATTTTTGTTTTTAAGTGAATTTGTTCACACAGCAGACCTGTTGTTATGATGGTAACTTATTACCAGGGGATAGTTAAGATAACTTTATTCAACTGGTCAACTTAAAGTTGTATATGAGATGGGCACCTGAGTGACCTTCTCTTAAGTCTAAGAAAGACCGCACACCCACCATTGCAGGAAGCATCTTGATATAAACGGTACGGTAATGAACTATCAACAGTGGGTATTCAAATAATGTATTCATAAATCCATCAAGTATGTGCTGTGAACAAATGGAAGGAGAAACATGTCCTACAAACTTCTATCTCTGATGGCTTTAGTGAAATGGATTCCATTTAAATCACTGGGGTTGATCACAGGGCAATGCTCAGCCTCCCTCTACTTTCCTTCCTTCTAGGTTGTCTGGATGCTTTTTCATTCTTCCTCTCCCTTCCAGCTTAGAGGAAAGAGTGTTTTTATTCTGCTCCTAAGCGAGTTCTGCTCAGAAATCATCTTCCCTTTTCTGAAAAAGCATTTTGCAATACTGTTGTTCTCTCCTCCAATCTTCAATTCTTTTCTCCAACTTACCTCTATCTAAGGAAGTCTTAAGCTTGCTCCTCAGTTTCATTCCTCACCCATCTTATCTGGAGGTTCTATGCCCATGACAGTACAGATGCTCTTTTTGACAAGTCACTGAAAGTATCAGAATGGTCGAAGGTAGAGGCTTCTTGCAAACCCTGTTCTCCTTGGCCTCTGATCAGTCGTGACATCACTAAACCCCTTGCTGTTCCAGAAGCTTCTCTCTGGTGACTTCCTTTCCCTCCCTGCCCAACATGATTTATTTATCCCTTTATTCCCCCATTCTTTCTATCAGGGTTACTTTATCTCTTGAGCTCTAGATCTGGAAACAAAACAGTCTACTCACTGGCTGCCCCTTGTCCAGTTATGTCAAACCAAGGATGTCTCACATACTCTCATTCTAGAACCCAAACCCACTCTTCTTGCCTTTCCGATTCCATGTTTTCATCCCTTTAGCTCATCAAGCTAATCAATGTATGTGTTGTTATGTGTCACTGAGTCAACTACAAGTCACAGTGACCTCTGAACAAGAGATTGTAACTCTGCCCTATCCTGCACCATCCAAATGATTTCTCACATGCACAATCCTCAACTGTCTTCTTTGACTCCAACTTCTTCCTTATTCTCTCTGTTCGATGGTTACTTATTCTGTGTCAATCTACACAACATGGGACAAATGCTTTCTTAAAATCCATCTTCTCTTTTATATTCTCATGACTCTGGCTCAGTTCACACCATCGTAATTTGTCACTTGGCTCTTATAATATCCTCCTTTACTGGGCCACTTCCTTTTCTTCCTTCTGCTAGTTTGACTCTTAGAAATGTACCAGTTATCATTCTAAAAGATAAAATTTTCTTAAAAATTCTCCAGGCTTCTGCCAAACTGTTTAGCACGATGTTAAATACTTGACGAATAAACCTCAACTCCTCCTTCCATCTTTGTTTTCTAATCCTCTCTTCTTCAAGTACAGTAACACTAGTTATTTTGAAGTCAATTCTGACCTTTCTTCCAAGATGTCTCTGAGTGGAATCAAATCACTAACCTTGGGACTCAGAGCTGAGCACTTAAGTGCCTGTAATGTTCAGGAATTCCTGCTTGTCCCTTAGTCACACCACAAGCAAGTCCTTTTTCACCCACGTATCTGTGCTAACATGCCTCAGTAACTTTCCACAAATTATTCTCTGGTGAAATCTTCTCTTTGAAGGTTCTGCTCAAATAGTTTGCTTTTTGCAGTTTGCTCCAATTCCCAAATACTGAGTGATGAATGAGTGGCTCTCTGTTCTGCTCTGCACAGTCCTCACCATTTTGTACAGATATTTAACATTTTTTAAAATTAATTTTAATGAAAGTTTACAGAGACTTAGGGTTTTCAGTCATTCATTGTTGCACTTTTCCCCCTGCCCACCCCTCCCCCCCAATTCACTCTTCTCCTTGAAAAGTAAAAGAAAAACTCCTTCAATGTTATGCAATCCCTCCCCCCAAGTCTGCTCCACTGTGCAGACTTCATTCTGGACTCCTGTCCTCGCAATAAAACCCAATCATATAACCTTTTTGAACATACACTTTTCAAACTTTATACCTACTCACCTACCTGACTCCAGTATCTGTTAAATGTCTTCTTTTTTTTAACCTTTTTTTCACCGTTGCATATTTTCTCCCCCTCCCCACCTTCCCTGCAATGCACCTGTTTGTCTTTCTGTGACTGAGATATTTTACTCAACATAATGTTCTCCAGGCTCCACCATGATGTGTAACGTTTTATGAGTTCATTATTGTTCAACGATGCATAATTCTCCATTGTGTGAATGTGTGATAGTTTTTCTATTCATTCATTTGCTGATGGGCACCTGAGTTGCTTCCATATCTTTGCTTTTGTGAATAAGGCAGCAATCCACATGGGTGTGCATGCATCTGTTTGACTCCTAGCTCTGGTTTCTATAGTGTATGTTCCCATAGTGGAATTGCTGGGTCAAATGGTGGTGTTATTTCCAACTTTTTGAGAAAGTGCCAGAATGCCTTCCACAGTGGCTGTACCATTTTACATTCTAACCAGCAGTGAATAAGAGATTCAATTTCTAGTGGCAAGAAGCTGCACTGAAAGCCCAAATGTGGGCAGTTCGAATCCACCAGATGCTCCACTGGAGGAGGGACAAACTCCTGTGCCAGTCGGATCTGAATTGACAGTACACAACAAGAAAAAAAACCAAAGTAATTAAAAAAAATAAAATAAAATTTAAAAAGAAAAAGAGTTTCAATCTCTCCAGCATTTGTTGTTTGCTGCCCTGTTGAACTTTGCTATTGTTGCTCAATTAAGATGATATCTGATAGTTGTTTTGATTTGCATCTTTCTGATGGCTAGGTGTTTTGGGTATTTCTTCATGTATTTGTTTGCCATCTGAATGTCTTCTTTGGTGAAGTGTTTATGCATAACTGGTGATATTTTGTGATAGGGTTGTTTGCCTTTTTCTTTTTGAGGTGCTGGAGTATTCTATAAATTTTAGATAGAAGTTTCTTATCAGACAAATCTTATCACTGACAAATACTTTTTCCCAGTCTGTGGGTTTCTCTCTAACCATGTTGGAGAAGTTTTTTGATGTGCGTAGGGATTTGAATCTTAGGAGGTTCCATTCATCTAATTTATTCTATCCTGGTTGTAGGTCTGATGAACTTTTTCAATGCCAGAGATTCTTTACTTATTTTTTTCTTAAACTTCAGCACACAAAATGTCTGACATCCATGATCACTCAGCAAACAATTTCTAAATGAACTAAAACCAAGGCTATGTATTTGTAAAGTAATTCCTTAGTTCACATGCAAATGACCTGCTTGCAGAAATATAGAAAATGAAACCTCAAAACAAAGTATCTTATCTCCTGTACGTAACTGCAAATGAAGAACAATAAAACTGGATTTGTAAAAATGAAATCTTGGACTTAGATACCTTACCTGCTACCAAGTTGATACTACAAAATGTGAGCTGTTACTAACATATTTATAATTAACAGTAATTTCTTTACCTTCTGGTTGAATACAAATGGTAAGACGAGAACTCAAATTCTACAAACCTGGTTAAAAGAGTCAATAATGCCTTTGTACAAAATCTCATTCAATTTTACATGCAGTATAAGTAAATGCAAAGAATAAAGTACATATGAACTACGAACAACGTACCTGTCCATGAATAGGAGAAACAGATCCTGGGGACACAGTGCGGGTAAAAGCGGATTTTTTCTGCCATGACGTATTAACAGTTAGGTTTGAGAAAGATACATTTTGATAATCAGTCATGGACGCTGGTTGATTTGAAGAAAGTGGTCTGTAAATACAATACTCTGATGTAAGTACATCTAATGGTTTAGAATCTAATTATATATTATCAATTTATCAAGATGTATAGAATATACATTATATTAAAACATGATTTGTGTGTGAGAGGGGAACAATGAATAAACCTAATTGTCTATATATACTCAATTTCAATATTCAGTTTGGAAAAATAGGTACTCATAAAACCCTAAGGCATATTTCAACATAATTAAGCAGCAAGTGTATTAGGTCTGTGTGAATTTGCAGAGTTATACAAACTCCTTCATTAGGTAAAAACTTACTCAGAAGTCGGTGAGGTAGCAGGTAAAAATACTGTAGGAGGAAGTAAGGCCTTCTTAGGAGATAAAGTTTTTTCATTTGATGACATTTTTTCTACATAGTTACATGGAAACCAGCCAAAATTTCCTTGAAAACTACCATACAGCCAACCAGGCTCTCCTATGGTTTTCTCATCAACCTAGGGAAACAGAAGAGTCAACACCACTTACAAATCACATAAAGTCTACTGTACAGCTTCATCCCTTTCAGATGGTGGCATTGAGCTTCTAACCCAACAGCTGAGCCTCTCTGGCCATCCAAACGCACCAGCAGTTCTGAGTGTGATTAACACACTCTGAAAACATGCTGGAGGTCCAGCTACCGATTGGTTCTGACTCCACGATAAAGACTTGACTTGCACTAAGGGCCTAGTGGTAAGGTTTGGTGCTGCCATCCCAAAGGCATACGGTTCAAAGCTATCAGTTGCTATCAGGGAGAAAGATGGTTAATAAACTCCCACGCGATTAACTGCCCTGGAGCTATCGTAAACTGACTAGATGATACACAGCAACAAAATAGGTAAGGCCTTTTCTACAGATTAATAGGTTAATATTTCCAATTACACGGAGTACTGGAGGCACAGTGGGTAAGTCCTGTATGGTAATCGAATCCAGCAGCCAGCTTCTGGGGAAAAACATGAGCTTTAAGGCTGTTCCATGAAGATTCACAGCCTTGGAAATCCTAGGGGACAGTCCTACTCTGCCCTCCAGGCTTATGAGGAACTGGAAATAACTCAGGGTTAGTTTTGATTTTTAATTATTGACATATTTATTTTTAACTTAAAATTTTAATCCAAGTTAATGCATGAAGATCGTTTACAACACAAATAGCATTATGACTAATGATGGGACCCAGCTTTGCTTTCCTCCTCATGGTTCCTTATGCTCTGATTTTCACTCCTAATGGTAATTCGTCAGTCCTAGTAATTTCTTCTGTAGTCTCTCCTATTCCCTGCTTGCTGAAACTGAGGAGGACCTGAAGCACCTGCTGCAGAGTGTCAAGGACTGCAGCCTGCAATATGGATTGAGGCTCAATGTCAAGAAGACAAAGATTCTCACCACTGGACCAATCGGCAGCATCAGGATGGATGGTGAAGAGATTGAGATTGTACACAGCTTTAGTTTGCTTGGCTCCATATCAACAGTCTTGGCACCAGCAGCCAGGAAATTAAAAGGCGCATTGCCATGGGAAAGTCTGCTGTTAGGGACCTCTCCAAAGTGCTGAAGAGCAGTGGTGTCTCTCTGGAGACTAAGGTGCGTCTGATACAGGCCATGGTCTTCGCAATCACCTGTTATGCATCAGAGAGTTGGACAATGACCAAGGAGGATAGAAGGAGAACTGATGCCTTTGAGCTGTGGTGCTGGAGAAGAGTATTGAGAATACCATGGACTGCTAGGAAAACAAACAGATTTTTCCTGGAGAGGGTTAAACCGGGTGGCTCCTTGGAGGCAAGGATTCTGAGGCTCTGTCTAACTTACTTCGGACATGTAGTGAGGAGAGACCGGTCCTTGGAGAGGGACATCATGCTTGGGAGGGTGGAGGGACGGCGCAGGAGAGGAAGGCCCTCTATGAGGTGGATTGATTCAGTGACTGGGATAATTGGGATGGGAGTGTCAGAGACAGTGCGATTGGCACAGGACAGAGCGGAGTTTAGGGCTGTTGTACATAGGGTCGCTATGAGTCGCAGGCGACTTGACGGCACATAACAACAACAACAGTCTCTCCTATATTTCTAAATATCATACATATGCCACAGTTCTAGGCCAAATTTGTACCTTTGATTTTTTTAAAAAATGTATTTCTGTATCCTGTTCCAATGATCTATTTATGTACAGTAATTCTAAGACGTCAGTGTCTTAATTACTATGTTATTGCTGTTATGTGCTGTTGAGTCACCTGTACAACAGCTCTAAACCCTGCTGTATCCTGTGCCAATCTCATTGTCTCTGACACAACTACCCCTATTACCCCAGTCACTGAATCAATCCATCTCATTGAGGGTCTTCCTCTCCTGCGCTGTTCCTCCACCCTCCCAAGCATGCCGTCCCTCTCCAAGGACTAGTCCCTCTTTGTCCAAAGTATATTAGACAAAGCTTCAGAATCCTTGCCTCCAGGGTGCAGCCTAGTTTCACCCTCTCCAGGTTGAACTTGTATGTTCTCCTAGTAGACCATGGTATATTGAATACTCTTCTCCAGCACCACAGCCCAAAGACATCAATTCTCCTTCTATCATCCTTAGTCATTATCCAGCTTTCTGACGCATCGCAAGTGACTGCAAAGACCGTGGCCTGGATCAGGTGTGCCTTTATCTTCAGACTGACATCCTTGCTCTTCAGTTCTTTGGAGAGGTATCTGATAGCAGACTTTCCTAATGGAATTAATCTTTATCATTTTCTGGCTGTTGGTATCAAGAGTGCTGATTGTACAGCTAAGCAAATTAAAGCTGTTAACAATCTCAATCTCTTCACCATCTATCATGATGCTGCCAATTGACCCAGTAGTGAGAATCTTTGTTTTCTTCATGTTGAGTTTCAATCCATATTGAAGGCTGCAGTCCTCGGCCCTCTGCATCAAGAGCTTCAGGTCCTCCTCAGTTTCAGCAAGCAGGGTTGTGTCATCTGCATAATGCAGATTATTGATGAGTCAGTCTACCTCCAATCCTGAAGCTGATGACTATAGCTTTATAATATTAGCCTTACATTCAGATAATGTTAATTCTGCTAACTTAATTCATCATTTTGAAAGTTGTTTTGGCTTTGAATAGCATGTCAATTTTGACAAAAAGGCCTTCTGGGATGCTGACTGGAAATGTGGAGTCTAGAAAACAATTTAGGGAAAACAGTTAACTTATCAGTGCCGAGTCCTCCATGTGAACGGTATATACATCCCGTTTTTAGGTCTTCTTCAATTTTTCCTCAACAAGGTTTTGTAATGTTCAATCTACAAGTGTTGTACATCTTTTGCCATTTTAATCTCTAAGTATTTTTTGGGGGGAGGTTGGGTAAATGTTATTTTTTTGTTCCAATTTATATACAGAAATAAAAATGGCTTTTGTACAATGTTCTTGTACACTGAAACCTTACCAAACTTACTATTTGTTCAAGATTCTTTTCTGGAGATTTAAGGGAATTCCTACATAGAGAATCATGCCTCCTGCAAATAAAGACAGTCTCTGCAATCTTGATGCCTTTTTAGTGTACAAGTCACTCCAGACCAGTAAGACTTTTTTTTTTTAAATCTTAGCAGATTTTGCCTATTTAAAATTCTTAAAACTTCTTCATACTGCTTTCAAAGTTCATGAAATTATGATTCCTTTCATCAGGGCCCAACTTACCTTTCTAACTTCATCTCATCATATGGGTGCTATAATGTGGCAAATAAATATGGTCATGTATCATTCCTTAGCCACACCTGGGGCTCCTTACACATTTCAATGTTTTTGAGAACTCTCTTCCTTCTACCTGAATGTTATGAGGCATAAGGGGAAAACTGTACACTTGGGAGTTAAAAAAATTATGCTTCTGTACCTGGTTCTTCTATGGGAGGTAATGATTATTCTTTAAAGCCTCAGTTTACACATCCATAAGTCCGGGGGAAATAACCTATTCTGCCTTTCTCCAGGGCATTTTAAGAATTTAACCTAGAATATTTATGAAGATCCTTGTGGTGTGCCACTGAGTCAGAACCAACTCATAGCTGGCCCTCTGGCAGGTTTTCAGAGGAAGTAAACTGCATGAGAGGAGACTGCTCATCTTTCTCCCAAGGAGCAGCCGGTGGATTCAAACATCACACTTTTGTGTTGGCAGTGCGATTCCTACTACTGAGCCACCAGAGCTCCCTTAGTAAAGGCCTTGTGAAACTCTTTAATAAACTGTAAAGCACCAGTCAAGTATATCCCTTTGAGGTCCCTTCTCCACCCTATCCTTGGGGAAAAGGTTCTCAAATTCTGTTGTATCTACTCTTGTCTCATCTTGTTGGTTACTAAAGCACTTTGTGACTTTGTACGATTAAATACATTTCCATTTTCCTCCTAGCTTGTGACCTTCTTATTCATATTTCTATATACCAAGCAGGCACATGATAGAAACTAAACAAATGGTAACTTGAACGCACTATTCTAAATTAAGCGCACAACAGGCTCAAAGCTTAATCAATAATAGATAGCTTTATTATCAGGGAAACCTCATTTATATTTACGATAAAAGATTTTCCTTTTAATGTTGCATGTCTGCTTATTTATTACATCATGAACCAGTTATTTAGGAACTTTCTTAATCAGAGTTGCTGTGTTTAAATGACATAAATAGTGTCAGTTATATAACTGTCATTAAATTATGTTCTAAAATAGAACAAATCACTTCTGAAATATTATCTTTTTGTAAGATTAGCTTAAAATAGCTAAGTAAGAACAATAAAAATAAAAACACAATAATCCTTTAGAAAGTTCCTAATGCTGCAAAATGCTCAAAATAGATCTGATTTAAATATATAGTCTCAGACCAAGTAATGCAAATTATGACTATCAGCATTAAATTCTTTTCTTTTGCTACTTAAAAAAATATAATTTATCCACCAGATGCTCTGCTGAAGAAGGAGGAACAATCGCCTCCTGTACCAGTCAGATCCAATTTGACGGTACACACATAAAAACAAAAAAACACCAAAGAAAAAACCCCTTTTTTAAAAAGAAATAGTTTGTTGTCATTCTATTTAATAGCTGTAACATTACCAAGAAGAGTAAATAGTTCATTTGTTTCCTAAAAATTACACCAATTTTTTTTTAGTATGGAGTTAATTATAATACTTGTTTTCCCCCTATTTTTGTTGTTGTTGTGTACCGTCGAATCAGATCTGACTGGCACAGAAGGGAATTGCCCCTCCTTCTCCAGAGGAGCATCTGGTGGATTCAAACGGCACGCCTTTCAGACTGCAGCACAGCTTCTTGCCCGTAGGCCACCAGAGCTCCCTAATTCCAAAAATGTCTTATCTGGTATTTATAGTTCTAATTAGTTTTCAATTTCATTGTATGGTAAACTAGAAATTCAGGTATTTTTATGATGTGTCAATTGTATCAAGTTTGGAAGGAACAGGGTATGTGGAAGTCAAAGGGAATGTTCTTGCAACCTACTCCACCACTGTAATACTCACAGCCGAAACTTGTGTACATCTGAGCTTACATACCTTTGTTATTACTGCTTAGTACGTTAAAAACATAAATTCTATTGAGCTATGTGGTATGTTATAAAGGTCAAATGAGGTGATATTTAGGAACTACTTCATAAAGATAAGTTACCACACAAAATTACTAACATCTACATTGTTATTATGGAGAGTAACATATTGGATCTCGCTTATTCATAAGAAAATGCCACAACTTCATTTCCTACCTGTATAATATCTCCAGAGTTAAAACTCATCTCATCGTGGTTCCTTGCTTCAAAGGGATACAATGCTCTATAATTCACTAAAATATTAGCTGTTCCACCTAAAGAGGAAATAGTGGTCATTATATGCTGCTTTCAAGTATACAGGCACAGCTCATTTAATCACACTCTGCTTAACTGTGCAAATATTATTTTTCCTCCCAAATGGCAGTTTGTGGAAACTCTGAATCAAGCAAGCCTAATGGCACCATTTTTCAACAGCATGAACTCACTTTGTGTGTTTGCATCATATTCTGATAATTCTCAAAATATTTTATAATGCTACTGTATACGTAATAGACTACAGCAGAGTGTAAATTTAACTTTCCTATGTGCTAGGTAACAAAAAAATTCACGTGACTTGTTTTATGGCAGTACTGGTCTAGAGTTGAACCTGCAATATTTGCAAGACATGACCGTTGAGATCTTTGATATGATTCAATAATAAAGTTATTAAAATCTAATAGAAAAATACTGTATATCTAAAAGTATTCAAGTATACAGATTTGCCAGAATTTAAGTGTTCTGAATAGTCAGGCAATTGATATAAAAGCAAACAAGACTGTTTATCTTAAGTAAAGAAGAGGCATTAAAGACTGAATACAGGAAAAGCCATGCACTTGGTTCTAAAGGGAGATTCAGGAAAGGGACATGTTTGAGCGGCATGAAGTGGAAATAGACTAAGAAGCCAGAGACTTGTGTCCTGTTGGTGGTCAGAAAATATGAAGGAGAAAAGGACAAAGAGAGAAGTTCAACACTGAAAGATCAGCAAGTAAACAGTGATGAAGTGTTGACTGGGGAATATCAAAATGAAAAATACCTCCCAAGAAAATGTCAATGTACAAAATCTTGTTGTTTTATCAACAGTTTAGTGATTTAATATAAAAAAACAGCAACTTATTGCTGTTCAGCTGGAACCGACTCATGGCTGACCCCAGTGAGAGTCTGTGAACTGCATGGAAGAATACACATCTCCCTCCTGAGGAGAAGAGCAGGCAGAGTTGAACTCACCACTTACTGGCTTTCTACTCTCCATCCACTAGGCCACCAGAGCTCCCTCACAGTTTAGCTACACTGGTTGAACAAAATGTTTATTTCACTTTAATTATGAAAATCAAGTCAGTATCTGTCCCCACGTGGTAAGAGAAGATTTTTCCATCGTGCTGTTTTAAGATTTCTACCTTCATTCTATTTTAAAGCCTAGATATTTGTCATCCAAGTTTAATGTACAAGGATGGTGGATTTTCTCTGCACTAAGATTAGCATGATCAGTGATGTACATAGACAGGGTCGCTGTGATTTGCCACCAACTTTGTGGCACTTCACAAGGTTAGTATCTTTCTTTCATTTTTATGGCTTCTGCTGCCCCTCAACAGAATCTTTTATTTGTTTCACTACTTCAGAAAAACAGTATCTATCCTTTTTACCTTTATTACATTGCTTTTCCTCAGCTTTCTTCTCCCCTTCTTGAATTTTCTCTTGTATTTTTTCTTCCTGGAGCCGCTTTTGTTTTTCCTCTTCTTCTTTTCTAAGTGTTTCTCTCCACAAGTTTTCTTTTGCTTGCTTTGATTTCCTATATGAAAGAAAAAGAATCTGCATAATATCATAAAGGTAACATTTTACAGAAAATAGTTATGTAACAGAAGATTTGGTTTCTGACAAGCTGGAAAGAAAAAAAAATTAAGAAAGAAGTGTAGTACAGGACCAGGGAGAAACAGAAAATAATCAATCAATCATTCAGGTTTAGAGCCTCGGACAAATCCATAGTGACAGGTGTGCCCAGACTAGAGATCACAAGCAACAAGTCCTCCATGCCTCAGATTCCCTCCTGCCAACCAACCTCTTAAACCCAGAAAAAAAAGAATAAAACAGAAAACCCAACTGAAGGGGAAACTCTAACGAAACAAATCTGAATTTCCCTTATTTGTCACAAAAAATATTGTTTCATCTCTCAATTCCACGATCCTATCTCATCGCAGTTTTGGGACTCCAACCAATGCTGTGGCATTAGGAAGTGGGAGCTCTGGTGGCTTAGTGGTACGAAGCAGGGCTGCAAATCCAAAAGCATGCAGTTTGAATCCACCAGCTGCTTTGCAAAAGAAAGATGGGCAATCTCCTCCTATGCGATTTACTGCCTCTGAAAACCTGCTGGAGGGTCAGCTGTAAATAGGTTCAATTTGAAAGTACATAACAATAGCAGTTACTTACTGTTGTTGTTGATTGCCTTCAAGTCGAGCACAACTCATAGTGACCCTATGAACAAAAGGCCTGAAGCCCCTCTACAACTACTGACATTTATCAAAGTTCATAGAGTTTCTGGAAGCATGTTGTTTAGTAAGTGGATGCCGCTCCTGCTTCCAAATTACTTACTAGCTTAGATAATCTGGCATTTTCCTTTATAGGTGCTTGCTTCTGTGTATGCTATGTCACATGATACAGCTGCAGTTCTGCTGTTAACTACTTAGAAAGATCTGTATGGTCAGATTTCATTATTTTGGCATTAAAACTAAAGCTCATTATCATTTTTCCGTGCATATATATTTTGTTATCTTATTTGGAGGCAGAATTACTCAACTTTAGCTCTTCCTCCAACCCTCTGCAGACACTAGAGACATACAGCTCTCGGAACTGTAATCTTCTCACTTGACCAAGGTGAAAACTTTGGATTACTTCTATGTAAACCTGGATAATCCTCAAAATTTTAGGCCCACTTTTTCCAAACTCTCCTATACTTCATATTGAGGCTCATCATTCCATTACCAGTTCTCTGGCCTAAGAGAAGGTATTTTTCAACTGTTTCATATAAATATAAAAACTGGACAATAAGGAAGGTCAAAGAAGAGCTGATGCCCCTAAGTTGGTGCTGACCAGGATACTGTTCTGCCAAAAGAACAAATCTGTCTTGAAGAAGTGAAGTCTCAACCTTCCTGAAAAGCAAAGATGCCAAGACCTGCACTCACTTGGGGCCTATTTTAAGGAGGGTGATCCCCTGGAAAAGGACATGATTTTTTTTTCTTTCTGAAAAGTAGATGGTCAGCAAAAAAAGGGAAAAAAAAGAGGAACACTTTCAGTGAGAGAGAATGACACAGTGAATGTAAAAATGGACTTAAGTCCCACAGTGACTGGAAGGATGATGCAGGATCGGGCAGTGAATCAGAAGCAATCTGACAGCATTTAATAGCAGCAGCTCCATCTCACCCTTGTCCAAACCTCCTGTGTCCTCTAGTTACACACGGAAATGCATCCTGCGGCAGCCCTCCCTAATGAAATCTGGTTCTCCTTTAAGAACAATGATTCTCTGGGAGTGAGGTAGTAAAACTAGAATTCTAGTAGCAATATCTCTCACTCAAACTCATTGTCATCCAGTCAGTACCAACTCACAGCTGACCCCACGTGGCTTTCCAGAGGCTGCAGGAATAAGAATCACCAGCAAGGCACCACCTATGAGTAAGCAGGGCAGCTCCATGTGGACCCCCCCGCCCCCGCCCCCGAGCTCCCTAGTGCACATCTATCAGTAGACTACCTTGCAGCTTCATCTTCCAATTTTTTTTTCTGTATCATCTCTGATTTTTTCCTCTCCATTTCCTTTAATTTGTCACGTTTGATCTTATGAAGCTGTTCAAGGGCTAACTGCTGTGTATTATAGCTTTCTCTCAGTTCCTAGGGAGAAAACGAAAATAAGTTCACACACAAATGATTTAAATATGTTTGTCAAATGTAACAACACGGCATTTGCATTTTAAAAAGAAAACAGACTTTTTGCATAAAAACCTTAAAGCAAGTTAAACTAAATTTAAAACACATAGAAAAATTTAAAATATCTAGATGAGAAAAAGAAAAACTTGAATACAATAAATATTTAAGCAATTTATCAATTGTGGACAAGTACATTACTCTGCTTCTTATGAATTAATTTCTGAGGAACATAGATATTTAACAAATTAATTCTTTGATCTGGTAGCTTATTTTCAAAGAAAATGCAATCTACTAAAAGTAGGGGAAACCTGTTGATTGTGAAAGTTTTTAAAGAGGAATTTTCTTCAGTCATGTTTTTTACATACATAGTTGAACTGCATTACCAAAACTAAACATAAAAACACTTATTAGACAATTCAGTTTAATAATAAAAATTAAAGAGTATATGCCTGAAACCATGAATAGGATGAATCAAACAAAAGTTTTCCAAACAAGAACAGAAATAAACAATTGTCTAGTTCTGTAGTAAGCTTACAAAGGATTCAAAAGACTCCTATTGAAGTCTGTCTGGACTCTCAAGTCTTTGCCTGCAAAGAGTTTAGAATCTTAAGCAGAGGAAGGTATCAAAATGTAGAATACTGAGAAGTACCTTAGAAGATAGATGAAATTACATGCTTAGCATCCTTCCTATCTTTAGGAAACTCATCTCCGTCCCTCCCTAGCCTTCTCAAGTCCTTTTTTTTTAAAAAAAAAAAAAAGCAGTTTTGAAGTCTATCAAATGACAAGCTCCTCCCATCCTATAGGGGCTTCATTTAATCTCAGAATGATTTTTCCAAAGGACATAGACATGATCTAAGCTCGGCAAACTCCTTTCTTGGGTATTACATGTATTGAAGAGGGGAGAAAGAAGTGGTCTCTTTCTCTAAGATTATTAATTTGTTATTGCTATTATGTGCCCTTGAGCCATCTGCGACTCACAGAGATGCTATGAACAACAGCTCTGAATCTTGCCCTATCTTGAGCCAATCTCACACACTTGTCTCTGACACACCTAACCACACCGCCACAGTCATTGTGTTAATCTATCTCACCCAGGGTCTTCCTCTCCTGTGCTGTTTCTCCACTCTTCCAAGTATCATGTCCTTCTCCAAGGACTGACCCCTCCTGGCAACATGCCAGATGTGAGACTACACAATTCTTGCCTTCAAGGAGCAACCTGGACTTACCATCTCCAGGACTGACCTGTTTGTTCTCTTGGTAGTCCATGGTATGTTCAATACTCTTCTCCAGCACCACAACTCAAAGGCAGAGTCTTTTGTCATCCTTAGTCAATGTTCAGCTCTCTGATGCATAGCAAGTAACTGAGAAGACCATGGTCTGGACCAGGTACCCTTTATTCTTTAGACTGAACTAGTTGCTCCTTAGCAGTCTGGAGAGGTTTCTGATAGGAGACTTTCCCAAAGCAAGTTGTCTTTGATTTCCTGACTGCTGGTGCCAAGAATGTTGATTGTGGATTTGAGCAAGAAGAAATTGTTAACAATCTCCATCTTTTTCCATCTAATAGGATGCTGCCAATTGCACCAGTGGTGAGAATCTTTGTTTTCTTGATGTTGAAATGCAATCGATTTTGACGAATGCAGTCTGTGACCTCCGCAACAAATGCTTCAAGGCCTCAGTTTCGGAGAGCAAGGATGTGCCATGTGCATAGTGTAGGGTTGTTAACTAGTGTCCCTTCAATCCTGATGCCACATTCTTCTTCATAGAGTGCAGCCTCCTGAATGATCTGTTCCGCAAATAGATTAAAAAGGTGTGGAGAAAGGACACATCCCTGACCCAAGACTTTCTTGATTTTGAGTCATTCAGTGTTTCGGTGCTCTATTCTAAGGGCTACTTCTTGGTCTAAGTACAGGGTTTGCACGAGCACAATCAAGTGTTCTGGACACCCATTCTTCTCAATGTTAGCCACAATTTGTTGTGATCCACATAGTCAAATGCCTTTGCATAGTCAGTAAAACACAAATAGAGATCCTTCTAGTACTCTCTTTTCAATCAAGATCTACCTGACATTGGCAATGATGTCCCTAGTACCACAGCCTCCTGTAACTCAGCTTGTATTTCTGGTGGCCTAGTGGACAGGGGATTGCTCTGCCAACACAAACACTCATGGTTCAAATCCACCATCTGATCTGTGCAAGAAAGCTGGGAAGTCTCCTCCTATGTGATTATTAAACTAGGATAACATAAACCTAGAGTGACTCAATTAGCAAGTGATGCTCCAGTGGTAGGAATGAAGTCAACACAGAAAAGAAGCAGATTAAACACAGAGATGAGGAGAGGGTTGGAGTGGAAAGGTCTTTAAAGTTATTCCTCAATGCCCTAGAACTATCTCTGTTTAGCAACTCCTCTACTGACCTAGGTAGTGGCCTTGGCAATCTTTCAACAATCACCTTTTTTAGCTGAAAATATTCTGCATGAGGTTTCTTTTCCTTGGAATCTACAGAATCCTTAATGAAAGTGTATAAACTGAGTACAGAAGGGAAAATCAAGCAAGCAAATCAAAGCCCAACACAACTTACTAAAACAGATATTAAAAAGACTGTTTTGGGGAAAGTGAACCAAACCCTGGCTTTTGCATCCATTCAGCGAACCAAGTAAAACTCCAAACCAAAGCAAACCCCAACCCTATTTCTTTACAGAGAGTATTTCTAGGGGAACTCTTTTGCTTGGTTGAAAGGATAGATCTGATCTGCTCTTTGTGGTACAGGGAGACTTTGGCCAAGAAGTCTCAGCCAAATACTTGAAACATAAGATTATGATGATGAAGGGTAGATCTGATCTGCTCTTTGTGGTGCAGGGAGACTTCGGCCAAGAAGTCTCAGCCAAATAATTGAAACAGATGATGATGATGATAATACAACCCTGCATTTATAGTAAATGTTTTCTAGTCCTCAGCTTCTATTGTTTTTCTTTGTTGCACTTTTCTCCATTTTCTACTGAAAAGGACACTACAATTGTTACACTTTGTGGTGTGTTGGTAGATCAGGAACAAGACCACAGAGATTTAAATCAGGCCACAGAGAGAGGCTGTGTCATCTCAAGGAAATCTTTCTTCCCCGTTTCCTCATCTGCAAAGTGGTAGATCACAGCATTCTGTTATGATCACATTGCTATTATGAGGATTAAATGAATTTAGAAGGTGTCCACCATAGTGCTGGACACACAGTCAAGCCTCAATATTAGCTACTGCCGGCTAAAGCCATAAACAGGAAGAGTGGGAAGTCTAAAAGGAGTTACGACTAGTCAAATTAATGATCTGCAACCTGTCTTCACTGTTCAGTCCTCCAGCTGCTGAAGACCCAGCTCCAGGTCTTCCTGCAGCTGTCCTATCTTTCGATGTCCGAGTTAATGAGCTCCTTGTGCTCACAAAGCATCTGCTGCCTTTTTCTACTATAACCAGTTTTTTCACTTTAACTAGTGTCTTTTGATTACATGGTTATCTCCTCACTGATTGAGATTCCTGGTAACAACAGTAAGTATTAACTGGATACATATTTTATCAAGATATACTGTTGCCAGAGAACTTGGTAGTTTAGATATCTAATTTACATAGAAATTGGGTGCTGTCTAGTTACTGTATGTATGTATGCTGTATGTATTTATTGGATGAATGAAAATAGGAAAGCACAGTCCATGGAGGTTAACAAGGTTTGTGAAGTCCCACAGGCTTGACAAAAACATTCCCTCTACCTGCCTGCAGTGGTCCTGCAAATTCCTATCATTACACTCACTCCTCTGTGCTAAAACAGTGCCTCTAGGAGGCCCTGGCTGAGCACACAAATTGACAAAGAAAAAGTAAACCAATTAGCACTCATGAACACAGCTGCTATTAATCTTAGCAGAATGACATAGTAACTGTGGAGCTTTTTCAGAATGCAGAGTCTTAAGCACCAGTCCTACAGTGCTGATTCTTTGTCTCGCCTCACTGTCCTGGCAAGGGCCAACAACACAGGGCTGGAGAGAAAAGGAGTGAGCACACAATTTTATCTTGTTCTTAATCCTACAGGAAATGTGGATATTATCTTTTTCCAGTAAAGGAAGTTCTCTTTTATTTCTAGTTCTTTTTTAATCATCAAGAAATGTTAAATGCTATCAAATACCTTTGGTGCATCCAACGGGAAAAACATACTTTTTTTTTTTTCTCCTCATGAACATATTTCAGACAGCTGCTTTTGGGTGGTGAGAGCCAATTTGCTAATAGAAGAATGTGGAAGGAGGGAGCTCATGGAGTTTAAACCATGCCTTGGTTTTTAAATTCAGTTGGGCCTGAGAGCCTGTGGCCCTCAAGCCTGGTTTTATTTTTGGTTAAACATTAGTCTAAGTGGTATAGCACTGGTCTGTTCATTTACTATACAGAGGTAACTCATAGTTGCTGTGATGCTAAACACTGTTACACTGATGTGTCAAATGCAATAATGGTTTACCCATGGTGGACAGTATTTGGTAGAGCTCCCCAATTAAAACAAGCTTGGAAGCAGGAATGACATCCACTTCTGAAATAGCTTGCCTCCGGAAACTCTATAAACTTGGAGAAATAATGAAAGTTATACAAGTGTTCAAGTCTTTCATTTATAGGGTAGTTATGAGTCATCTACAAGTTGACGGCACTTACACCTGTGTTTATATGGTAAAGTTTATTAAAAAGTTCTGGGGGTGGGGGTATTGTATACCAGTGAAGGAATTTTTCTCTTACTTTTCAAAGAGAAGGGTGAACTGGGGGAGACGGGTGGGCAGGGGGGAAAGTGCAACAATGAATGAATGGAAATCTAAAATCTCTGTAAATGTTCATTAAAATTAGTAAAATTTTTAAAAAACTTCTGTACATGAAACCAACTTGGCATAGTTAAGTTCAACATCAACATGATGGATTACCCTTTTTAAAAATGTATTTCCACATTCAGTGCTTACTATTTTGTTTAGAACTATTTCCTCTATATAAATTAGCCTATAATTTTCTCATTCTATTTTCAAGTTTTGGTATCATGATGATGATAGCTTTATGTAAGTGAGCATATTGCTTTTTTCTATATATTCTAGTCACTGCAGAAGACTGGAATAACTTGTCCCTTAAAATTATGATAAACGTCCTTAGTGAAAATAGGCATTAAACCAGCTGTTGCATCAGGCTGCAACTCATGAGAACACCCCAAGTGAAAGCAGAACTTGGGCCACAAGGTTTCCCACAGCAGAGTTTTCAGAATTAAATTACCAGGCCTTTCTTGTTAGGTGCCTCTGGGGAGAGTCAAATCTCAAACCTTCTGGTTAGCAGTTAAGAATGTTAACCTCTAGCACAACCGAGGGATTTCGATATTCATGTTAACTAGTCCCACTCCCATTTGAATTGAAGCCTTTGAGCTGTGCTGTTGGAGAAGAGCACTGAACATCCTACGGACAGCCAAGAAAACAGATAGGCCTTGGAGAAGATACAGCTGGAGTGCTCTTTGGAGGCAGGAATGATGAGACTTCACCTCACACACTTTGGCCATGTTACTAGGAGTTGCTATTCCTTGCACAAGGACATGATACAGGGAAGGGGTGAGGGTCGGCAAAGGACAGGAAGACCCTCAATTAGGTAGATTGACACGGTGACTGCTGCAGTGGCTTGTATGTCAGGAAGTGTGAGGATGGTGCAGGACAGAACAGGGTTCAGATCTTTTGGTCATAGAGTCACAATGGGTTGTACTTGACTCGATGGCACCGAACAACAACAACGCCACTTGTGTAAGTTGTATAGGTCAATACCTCTCCATACCATTAACTGGAGGAGTTCTCACTAACTACGTCACCTCAGAACCCTGGTAACATGTGATTATAACACAAGTAAATCACAGGTCTTGTGTTGACAGACTCTACTTTCTCTCAAAATAAAAGCACTTTCCTAATCATTCAGAAATCAACAGTGGTGACTGTCTAATACACTAAACTTAACTTGGAGATGCAAAACCATTTCTTCCAAAGAACAACAACAAAAATATTTGTAGCACATAATAGTTCGCAAGGCATGTACATATTTTATACACACACACACACACACACACACACACACACACACACACACGTCACTTAATCATCACAGAACTGCAAAGAAGGCAGAGCAGACATCACTGGCTTCACTATGTTCACGAAGAACCCAAAAGCTGGAGGTCAAATGATAGACATCTGCAAAGCTAGCAAGTGACAGGAATAGGACTGAATTCCTAGACCAGTACTATTCTTCTGTCTTTCACTGGTAAAGAGAATAAATGAATTCTTAACAGTATAAAGGCTTGTTGAATGCCTCCTTTAGAACTCACTAGTTTTCCTATTTATTCTACTCCAACTTTACCAACAGTACAAAAATTATCATCAATCCTGTACAAGTATATTACAGGGTTCCATAAAATACAATTTTCTAATATAATTTTAAGTAGTATACCTCTGCTGTCACTAGTAGCTTAAAAGTGTAATGTTCCTAAATGCCCTCATGCTCTTAAGGACTACAGCTTTAGAACTGAGAGCTTGCCTTCCTCCAAAACCAATTCCATCTCACTTGCCAACAAGCCTCATTCTTTGTCTTGCTGTACCATCAAATGTCTATCTCTATAAGGCTGTCTTTTGTCTTTCTCTAGTATCACTTAAACGATCCTCCTCCTATTTTCAAATTCCTCTACCAATTTAGAAGTCTATTTGAACAGAAAATTCCCAAATAGTCTCAAACTCTTCTCTGAATGGAAATTTCTCCTTACCTCTTTGCATTCTCAGTTGATTTTTCACCCTGTCACTCTTGCTCTAGTCCTTTCCAGTTTCTTGTCATACTCTGAAACTTAGAGCAGGGTCTATTTTCTTTGCTCTTTTTTTGCCATGTCTAGATAATCATTACTCTTTCTGAGCCAGCACAGCAGAAGGATGGGCACTCTCCTGCTGGGTGATTTAAGCCTCTGAAAACCCACTGAGGGGTCTGCTATGGGTTGGTTCCCACTTGATGGTAAACAACAACAATCACCACCACATCTTTTATCATTATCTAGAGATGTTCTGCATGAGATGAACTGATACAGTGACTACGGCAATGGCTCAGGTGTTTCAGAGACAGTGAGGTTGGCTCAGACAGGGTCATAGTCGACTTGATGGTATTTAACAATAACAACAACAGAGATATCCTGCTTATGGACTCTTGTTCGTTTACATTCACCATTCTCTAAATCTAAAACATTTACAGAGAGGATCCACTCAGCAAGGATATTTTTTTATTCCGCTTAATCCATCATTCTCATACTACATTTTGGATTTTAGCATCATCAAAACAGAACCAGCACTAATCAAATACTACATTCTTTGAATATATTATCTTATCCTTCAACCTTTTTAAAATTAAGCTTTGAAACTTGTACTTCTCATACTCCCAACTTCAATAAAATTTCCTGGATGTGCATCTCTTTCAACAGGTTTCAATCTTGGAGAAATCTCCATCCGCTGATCCACCATTCTTTTTTCATCATCACATTTTCTCTCCTCAAATTCCGTCATAAAATCCTCAATTCACATTCATTCTTGATCTACCACAACCCAGATTCTGCTCATCATGAACTGAAATGGTGCTTTTACCAAGGTCTCCACAGGCCAAATTTCCTAGATAGCATCAGTTCTACATTAATTAGTGGAAAACTGGCAGTGACTACAGACGGCGTCCTCCTCAGTTTCTGCAAGCAAGGTTGTGTCACCTGCATAACGTAGGGTATTGATAAGTCTTCCTCCAATTCTGATGCCATATTCCTCCTCATAAAGGCCAGTTCCCAAATGATCAGTTCTGCATGTATACTGAAAAGGTATGGAGACAGGATGCATCCCTGACACACTCTCTTCTTAATTTTGAAGCATACAGCGTTGTTGTTTTTTTCTGAAATGGAGGCATATCTGAAATACTGGCTGCAGAAGGTCAAGGACTGTAGTCTTCAATATGAATTGAAGCTCAACATCAAGAAGACAAAGATTCTCACCACTGGGCCAAGTGGCAGCATCATGATAAATGGAGAAGCGACAGAGGTTGTTAACAATTACAGCTTGCTTACCCAGCTCCACAATCAACTCTTAGCATCAGCAGTCAGACAATTAAAAGACAAATTGCATTGGGGAAAATTTGTTGTCAGGGCCCTCTCCAGAGTCTTGAAAAGCAGTGATATCAGTCTAGAGAGTAAGGTGAGCCTAATCCAGGCCATGAATACTTGGTAAGCATTGGCGAGGCTGGACAATGATGAAAGATTTAATCAATGCCTTCAGGTTGTGGTGCTGGAGAAGAGTCTTGAATATACCATGAGCCGCCAAGAAAACAAATAAGTCTGTCTTGGAGACGGTGAAACCAAGTTTCTTCTTGGAGGCTAGGAATTTAAAGCTCCATCACACATACTTTGGGCATGTGGCCAGGAGGGACTGGTCCTTGGAGAAAGATACCATGCTCAGAAGGGTGGAAGGACAGTTCAGAAGAGGAAGATCCCGGATGAGATAGACTGATACAGGAACTGAGGAAATGAAGTTTGGTGTGGCAGAATCAGACTGGCTCAGGACAAGGCAGGCTTCAGAGCCGCTGTACATAGGCTCGCAGGTGACTCGACAGCACATAACAACAACAACAACAACACAGAAGATGTCTTTGCTTTCTGTGACAACACAGCCAGTCTCCTGACCACTCTGCTCAGTGCAACTTATTACTCTTTGCTTTCCTAAATTGCCTCTGATGAAAGTGTCAAATAACAGTGAAAAGCTGGAAGGCAGGAAGCAGAAGCAGAAAGTAAAATAAGAGACAAGGATAATCTGCTGGAGAATTAAATGCTAACGAAGAGAACTGGACTTCCAGGAGCTACTATAATCCATACATCATCCAATCTAATTTTATCAGCGAAGAAATGGAAGATTCTGTAAAATGTGTAGTAAAAGTTTAAAGACCACATAACCTAGTCATTCATGCCATTAACCTGGAGACTGAAATTTGGGAACTGTGTTGTGACCATTCTTCCTAATGTGCCTGACCTGCTTGGGTACACCTGAGCTCTCCTTACCATGTTTCTGTCTCCCTCATTGTCCATATCAGGCAACTGCCATCCAGTTGAGCACCAACATGGTTGTACATCTGACACTGTTTTACCCTAGATTTCAGAAAGTCCAAATTTTCTTTTACACAATGATTTCCCATGATTTGGGTAAACGATTTAATTGCATTATTTCCTTAGCTTTTCTTTGACTGAGTTAGTGATCATCCTATAAGTTAACTCCACACAGAGAGATGCTATAAAGGAACCTATGACACCTTTCAAGTGTCTGGGGCCCAGAAGGAAGGTTCCCTCGGGCAGGCATTAGACTCAAATAGGCAGTTAGACAGCAGAAGAAAAGTCAAGCAAGCAGAAAGAAAAACAGGTCTATACTATATATGTTATTTCAAACAAAGGTACTTAGGTAAATGCAAAGAATAGTAAAAAAAACAAAATAAAGGAAAGATAATGGTAAAGTAACTGGAAAAAACAAAAGAGCTAGATATTAGAAAATAACCTTAAGTAAGAGGAAGAGGTTGTTGAGACAGCTTAGCAGAGACAAAAGGCACTGAAGAACAGAGTCATCCATACTCCCACACTGTAAGATAAGGCAGATAAAAAGCCAATTAAAGCATGCACATTTTTTTTAAAGGAAAGAAAAAACAATGCAGGAAAGATAAATTGGCTGGGTTGTCTGTCCATCAATGACAAATAATTTGTTTTCGTTTTCCTTTTTTTCATAGTAAGCACTGTGTAAAATGTACGATTACCATTAATCACCTCAAATGTACCCTTAGTTGGTGTTAACGATAGTTAGCAAGATATAAGCTATATGAAAGATAGCTGCCTTAAAAGCTATGTAATACTTTCTGCAGTAAGTACTTTATGCTCGCAAAAGAAAACTAGAATTACTCCCAAATTTGAATTACAAGTGGTGGTTTTGGTTTTTATTATTCAGTGATAGGTATAGCTTTAATATACAAGTAGCACCGCACAGAGGAACAAATCTACATGTATCATCAACTAATTTTTCTTGTAAAATTTATAGCAACAATTATGACTTGGTCTTTATTTAAAATTCAATTATTTCACAAAGGTTAATGAAATTTAATTGCTTAAATCGATGAAATTAAATTAAAGACATGAGAAAAATAATCTAGTAAGCTAACAGGAGCCTTCATCCCTTTAATCATTTTTAATTGGCCACGGTTTCCTTTTCAGGAAAGATCTACGCTCAGTTCTCAGGAACTATCAGCTAAGATCAGTTCTGTCACACTGTCAAAGCAATTGTTCTGGAAATATATGTAAAGAGTCTAATAAAAATAGCACACAGTCTAAACCAGAAACTGAAGGAAATTTTGTGTTTAGTTATACAACATTTAAAATATTTGTGAAGGACATTAAAAACAATCTTGACATTCTAGTAATGTTCAAACTTTAAATTTTATAATAATAAAAGGTTTAAGTTACCAATTCTATTAATTCAAAATAAGGACTCAATAGCTAACAAAAGTGAATAGAAGAAGAGACACATACCTTTAGCTGATTGTTAAATGAATCCATTTCTGCTAGTTTAGAAGCAGTTTCTTTTTCAAGTGCATCTAGTTGTTCTTTAAGTCTTTGGCATAATTCTTCCTTTTCTAATGACTTTTTATGAAGTAAATTGATCCCTGAATCTAAAATACAAACATTGGACAATTTATATTTGACAAACGTTCCAATGTGATTGCCATTCACTGCCTGGTCAAATGGTGTAACTAGAGAAAGAAAAAGGTGGAATATGCATACGATAGACCAGCAGTCTCCAAACTCCCCACTCTCCCTCCCTTTCCCAAACAACATCCAAGGAAGAACCTCATGGGGAAATGGCTACAAACACTGCTTTTATGCAAAAGGCCAGGATTTTAAGTGAGGCTCCAATTAGGGCAAGACATTTCACTAACCTGATTCAAAATGGGCATCACAACACCTACATAACTATCATGAGATGGTAGATTAAAAAAAGCCATTAGTAGAGTATCTGGTCCACAGTCAGTGCTCAATTCAGGCCAGCACTGTTCAAGCCCCGTGGTGCAGTAGTCGAGCACTCAGCTGCTGACTGAAAGGTCAAGAGTTTGAACCCTCTAGCTGCTCTGGAGAATAAAACTGTGGCACTCTGATTCCATAAAGAGTACAGCCGTGGACACCGTGTGAGGCAGTTCTACTCTGTTCTAATGTTACCTGGAGTCAGAACTGGCTTAATGGCAAAGGGTTTCGGGTTTCTTAATTGTTACAGAAACTTTTTATTTATTCATATCAGCCAATCAAATTGCCAGTGAATCAGAACTGACTCATAGCTTACCCTCCAGAACGTTTTCAGAGCGTCTACATGGCACAAGAGGAGATAGTCCATCTTCCTCTCAAGAAGCCGGTGGATTTGAACCACATGCCTTTGGTGGCTCAACTCCTTACCCACCAGGACACTAGAGCTCCCTTCTTTATTTACAGTGTTCCAAAATACATGGAGATGTTTACAACAAAGATAATAAATACTATTATCTGGATTATTTTGCATTTTTTTGTTTTAGAGAGTTTTATATCATCTTATATATGCAAGCTTGGGTGGAGAGACTAAATGGAAATACATGACGTAGATTACAACAAATTAAAATAGCAATATTACTACTTATACATATATCTTTAGTATGATTATTGTATCTAGTGTAAAATTTAAATAATATAGAATTATGTAGAATAATAATTCTTTTTCTTCACCTCATCCCCAACTGAGTCACCTTATACAGTTACTTTTAAGTATGTATATATTCACCTTTTATTTCCGTGGGATTTTAAGAGGATTATGTTGTCTACACCACTTTGAAAGTTGTTTTAAATTTGGTAATATTATTTTATCAATCAAGATATACAGAATTAGCTCACTCTTCATAACTGTGCCGAGGTAGTCTACATTACAGCTGTCACATATTTTATGTAGCTATTCTTGTTTTCACCTGACAGTTGACTGGCATGAAAATTGTTCTTAATGTTGTATCATTATGCAAAAACGCAAACAAATCCCTTTGCACATATATTTTAATGCACTTGTGAAAAGTCTGTATGAATATCAGACAGAGTTGCTGAGAATCCAAATATACTTGATGGGCAAGGGCTTAGGAAGGGAAAGAAATTGCTCTGTAAAAAAAATTTGCACACAGAAACTTACTGAGAGCTATCCATTTCTCACTGATGCCAAAGACAACTTTAGCCATTTATGTATCAACACAGTCAAAAGCCAACAACACATTGTTTTAGGCACTGTTGCTATATAGGTGTTGATGTTTTGGAGGGCTCGTATCCTTCCTTCATTGGTCCTTTTTTTTCCTGAGTTCTTGCTTACCCACATACATTCCTCTTCTAGAAGAGCTTACAAATTATCTTGCCAAGTTTCATTTAAATACATCTGAATATAGAGATAAATTAGGGGATAACTGACCTCCTTACAGTATTGAGCTAGTACATTTAGGAACATAATGTGCCTCTATTAAAAAATCTTTTGTCTGTTGGTAAACTTCTACAGATGCATATTTCTTCTTTATCCAGAACAATGAGAATGTAATGAGATCTCTTTTCCGTGACATTTTCTAATTAAGTATTTTTAATAAATAGTAAAACTATATGATAATTTTGTATCTAGGCACTCTGCCAAATTCTCTTATAAGTTTAATTGCCTTCCAGCATTTCAACAGCTATTTAAATATTAAACACTGTGCTATGTGCGATGTCAGGTTAAAGAAAAGGAGAATAAGGAATAGGTTCTATTTTCAAATAGTCAAGAGCCTAATGAAGCTGAGGAGATAAACAGTATAAAATCATAAAAATAATTATCCATTCATGGCATTCTTCAAAATAAACATCATCAATAATGGATGTTTTAGTAATGCATTAAAGGGCATTGTGAATGTAAGCATCGTGTTGTGAATTAACAAGGAGACCATGTGGTAGTATAGGGGGCTTTGGCTTCCTTAAAGTTCTCAATTCAAGTACTATCCTTACCCTCTTGGGCATTGACTTAATCTCTGATTCAGTTTTCCTCAGCTGCACAATGCGAACGTTATTGTTGTTACGCACCCTCAAGTCAACCTGAGACTCACAGAGACCCTATGAACAAATAGCTCTGAACTCTCTGCTCCATCCTGAGCCAGTCTCACTGTCTCTGACACATCTAAGCCTGAGTTACTATGTCAATCCATCTCATCCAGGGTTTTCTTTCTTGGGCTGGCCCTCCACCCTTCCCAGCATGATATTCTTTTCTCAGGACTGGTCCCTCCTGACAACATCCCCAAAGTATGTCAGATGGAGCTTCAAAATCCTTGCCTCCAAGGAGCAACACGGTATCACCCTCTCCAGGATAAAGCTGTTTGTTCTCTTGAAGGTCCATGGTATGTTCAACACTCTTCTCCAGCACAACTCAAAAGCATCAATTCTTCTGTCATCCTTAGTCACTGTCCAGCTCACTGATGCATAGCAAGTACTTGCTAAGACCATAAGCTTGATCAAGCACACCCTTGTCTCTAGACCAACATCATTGTTCTTCAGCACTCTGGAGATGTCCGTTATAGCATACTTTCCCAAAGCAATTCCTCTTTTGATTTCCTGACTGCTGCCAAGAGTGTTGAAGACTGCAGAACCAAGCAAGCAGAAATTGTTAACAATCTCAATCTCTTATTTGTCTTCTTGACAGTAGATTTTCCAAATGCAGTTCATCTTTTGATTTCTTGACTGCTGGTCCAAGAGAGTGGATTGTGGAACTGAGCAGTCTGAATTATTAACAATCTCAGTCTCTTCTCCCTCTCTCATGATGTTGCCAGCTATCCAGTGGTGAGAATCTTGGTTTTCTTGATGCTGAGCTCCAATCTATATTGAAGTCTACGGTCCTTGCTCTTCTGCAGCAAATGCTTCAGGTCCTCTTCAATTTCAGCAAGTAAGGTTGTGTCATCTGCATAACACATTTTATTGCGGAGTCTCCTTCCAATCCTGATGCCACATTTTTCCTCATAAAAGTCCAGCCTCTTGGATGATCTGTTCCACATATAAATTTAAAAGGTATGGAGAAGGGGCACATCCCTGATAGACTTTACTCCTTTCTTGATTTTGAACCAGTGTTTTTGAAGCAGTATTTTCTTGCTCTGTTCTGACGAATACTTCCTGGTCTAAGTAAAGGTTTCACATGAGCACAATCAAGTGTTCTGGGATTCCCATTCTTCTCAAGGTTAGCTACAATTTACTGTGATCTACACAGTCAAATGGAAATAAGAATCATTAACTCACAGGCTGTTAAAAAGATTAAAGGAAACAATTTATGAGAATTGCCTGTGTTATTTCATGAAAATAGCACAGTGCTTGACTCACGGCTGAGAATGTTTAATGGAACTGTCATGAAGAAAGTAATCTGAGGGATATACGGTGCTTTTCAAATCCTAAGACAAAAGAATCCTATTTTGAAGTGGAATATAGCAAAAGAACAACAGCTGCACAGGATCACATTCCACAAAGTATAAAGTTCTATCAGGCCCCCAGTAAGACACAGTTCACATTCCACTCACAATCTAAACAGGAACAGCAGTGATGAAGATGATGACCTAGGTTCTGCCACTGCACAGATCAGGGCTTCGAACCAGTTCAATCTGCTTCAGTCACCGCTGATGAAGCAACACCAGGATGGGACTCCAACTGCTCAGCAGTGGATTGATCGAGAAAAAATACCCAGAAAGGAGAAAATGATGATTGAAGCCCTGCTAAAAATGTAATCTCTCTATTAGAAAGCAAGGGCAGCATGCACGCTGTATAACAAGTCTCTTTACAAGTTGTCCTTGAATACAACAGTGCTCTGTGCAAAGGTGTTGGCCAGCTATGCTGCTTCAAATCGTGTTCCTCTCCAGTTTCCTACTTCACCACACACACCATATCACACATGCTCACACTTCACATCAATACATTAAGCCTCATCTCCTCATACGCACATACCTGAAAGTCACACATCAGCTGAGTATTTTTTTTGAGGTTATAAATCTTTTTTGTTTTTTTAAAATTTTATTTTATTAATTTTAATGAACATTTACAGAATGGATTTTCATTCATTCATTGTTGCACTTTTTTCTTTACCCGCCTCCCCCCCAGTTCATCAGCTGAATCTTAATAAAAAGTTTCTATCTCTATTTTACTTTCTTGACCCATGTTGAACCAAGTCAAAATGTTTGGAAGCCCTAGTTCAACTCATTAGGACTGGTTCATCATGCCTGGAATTCCTACAGAGCGAGGCAGAGCAGATACAGATTACTTATGAAATCCTTTATATAATTCGAATCAGAGTTTAGAGTTGGTTCCAATTCTACAGCACACAACAACATCCATTTATTAGAACATGCTGGTGGCCTGATGGTAAGAAGCTGTGTTGCCATCCCAAAGACACATGGTTTGTTTGGATTCACTAGCTGCTCTGTGGGTGAAGGACGGCAGTCTCCTCCTGTGCAGATTTACTGCCTCTGAAAACTTGCTAGAGGGTCAGCCATCAGTTAGCTCTGTCACTCTGGCACACAGCAACAAGCAATATCCATTTATTAAGTGCATTTAGTTCCCTCCCTTTTTATCCCTGGCAGGCATTCAAAAATGACTCCACCCATGTAAAAACCTCTCTTTAGCTTTTTATAATACTGGTTTTATATAGTATTTGGGACTGGCTTACGTCACTCAGCATAATTTCCTCTAGATTCATATACGTGATACAGTGTTTCCTGAACTCTTTCACTCCTTAGAGCAGCAAAGTACTATGCTGTGTGAAGGTGCCACCATTTTTCTCACTGTTCCTTCATGACGGGATACTTGGTTTGTTTCCATTTCTTTGTTATTATAAATGTTACAGTAAATATGGGCATCCAAAAGGGCTGAAAGAGGTGCAAGACAGAAGCCTGAGAGTGGATAGACCACATCAACAGTAACAACAGCCTACAAGAGTCAACTTTTCTACTCTTAATGTTTTTTCCACAAGAAGGACCTTCCATTAGTACATTCCCAGCTTCTTTCTACCCCTACACTAACCAATGAGCTCAAGGTAAGGGCCTGGCACCCACAGCCTGGCCTTCCTACCTCTTAGGTTCTTGTGACTGAGCTGCCCAAAGCAGCTTTTTGACTACTGTTTTGTTCACAAACATCAAGTTTTACAGGGAGGTTTTAGCACCTGCAGGTAAACCATATTTTCCAATATCCACTTTATCGATAATGATTGGCTATTTTGGTCTCTCATAGATCGTGTTCCTTTCTTTCTTTCCCTCAGTTTGTTTAGGACTCCTAAGCAGTCAACAGTATTATAAAAAACCCTTGAATGGAAAAAAGTGACAGACTGCTCAACAGGAGATATGAAGGACACGCCAATCAGCCAGTTGTGACATCTGCAGATTTATAGTATTTAAACTTCTTTTGCTAAATTGTTAGTGTCCTATGATTCCACATAGAGATCCTCCACGCCTCTCAATTCTGATTAAAACTTGATGTTTAAAAAAAAAAGTTACCTTACTGAAATATTTCTTAGAATGTTTTGTTTCACAGGTAGCAAGCTGCACACTGTTGTTGTTAAGTGCCCTGACACCAGTATAAACAATAGGCCCAAGTCCTGTGTTATCCTCATCATCTCTAATACACTGGAGCCCACTGATGCAGTTACTGTGTCAATTCCTTTCAGAGGCGGGAGTCTCCTTCTCCTTTGTTGATCTTCCACGTTTCTAAGCATGATGTTCCTTGCCAAGGAATAGCTTCTCCTAAGAACATGTCCAAAGTATGAGAGACGAAGCTTCACCATCCTTATCTCTAAGGAGCACTCTGGTGGCACCTTTGCTAAGCTAGTAAAATTTATTGTATGGATAAGAATTAGATAATATAAGGGGTCTGGGAAGAGCACACCACTCTGCTCAGGCGAGCCACTGCTGTATGCACCCAAGTAGCATTCCCTGGGCTTGTCCTGAAGCAAGGGCTCTTCCCGAACAGTTCTTTACAGTTAGGCCAGAGTTAGATCTTTTAGGAGGTACACGTAATCTTAGCAAAACTTAACTCTTGTTTAACTACAGTCTACAGTTTTATTTGATTGATATGTGAATTATCTATATAAAAATATTATCAAACTAGGATGTCTAACCATAATCATTAATTACACCACAATGGTTTAAAAAAGGGGGAAGAGGTGTCTAAAAATGCTGTAGCATTAACTTAGAGGCAAAAATGCTACTGGATAAAGAATAGAACACCATTTTTCAAAAGGAACAGAATATGACCAATAAAGTCACAAAAAAGAAAGAGGCAAAACCAACCTTGGAGACTTACCAGGAGTGTTGTCAAACTGCATGTTTTTAATTCTTTCATTTAATAATTGCTTCTCAGGTACCAAATAGATAAGCTTATTTTGATATTCCTTATAAAAAAGAAAAAGTTATTATCAGATTAAATCCTGTTAATATTTACCAAAATCCTTTAAAACTTAAAAAGGCATGACTTACTCTTGAAACACAGAAATGCTAAGGAATCACCAAAGACCTACAACTTATAAATAAACTAGAATGAAATGATGTATGATTAAAAGGTAAATATTTAAGCATAAATCCATTTATTAAACACTGGTGATGAAAGCCTCTGCAACTGGGCACACCTTATAGTCGAACACTTCTGAGCATACTGATAGACAATGACAGGCACAGGCTCTAAGGGCCGCCTCTGGCCACAGCACATGCATTAACTACATGGCCTATGTGAGCCATGGATCCTCCAGGACAAAGTGGTATATCCCAAAAAGGAACGAAAATGCAAGACAGCTGGGGAAGCAGGCTTCCCTAGTCCGCTTAGGACTGAATCAGATAGAAAATGTTATTTGGCCTTTGTCTGTGCCTGCTGTGACAAAGTCAATGCTGACTAACTCCCAATCCATACAGAAGATAACAGAGATTCCAGAGATGCAGAATGCTTCCCTTTTCTAATAATACTAATAATTAACCAAATTGATTTTAACAAATAAAAAGAATTACCAGGCAATTTTGAGAGATACAGTCTCACTGCAATTCCAAAAAGAAACACATTAAGTCAAAGTTTCCTAGAACTACACCCACTTCCTTTTACTTGTCATGCTTATGTTCCGAAGAGCAGGCTGTTATGTGATACTTGTGTTATGCAAAAAAATGAGAGGTGATCATATCAAATCACAAAATGGAAGATAACGACATCATTGACTGTCAAATGAGATAATTAAATCATTATATTATTATAGAACTGCCAAATTTCTTCATTACATAGCTACCATATTATATTTTTCTTTAACTGTCAAACCACTGACAATCACGGCTGGGCCAAACCATCACAGCCAGTAGTCAATACTTGTTTCTTTTTAATTTTTTTTCACCAATAGTAATACTGCCTTACACTAAGAGTTCAATATTGTTAAATATGCCACTAACATGCAAATACTATCATGTTTGGCAGAGTGGAGGGGCGGTGAAGGAGAGGAAGACCTTTAATGAGATGGATCGATTCTGTGACTGGAGAGGTGGGGATAAGTATGTTTGAGATGGCTAGGTTGGCACAGGATAGAAGAGTGTATAGAGCTCTTGTACATAGGGTCGCTATGAGTCGCAAGTGACTCGATGGCACATAACAACAATTATTGTAAATGGGAAATACTGGTTAATAAGTTGGTCAGTTAAGTGACTAGCAGGTCTACAGACAATGGTGGAATTTAATGTATACAGGTGTAAACATCTTCATTAAATAGTTATGCATAAATATTAAGGACGTCTCACTAGGTATCGTTAGCTGAGCTGTTGGGGGCTGAACAGATTTCATGACAAATATACACAAGATTGAGTTTATATAATTCTTTCTAGGAAGGAAGTCTATTAAACACTGAAGGGACTCATGACCCCAGAACTGCATGTATTTTAAGACATTTAGTAGTCAACGACTAACCTGGAGTTCAGATTGGAGCTGTTTGATTTCCATAATTTCCAGGTCACACTGCTTATCTAGGACTTCCAGCTCAGTCTTCTGTGTTTGCTTTCTGAGTCGGACATCCTGAAGTCTGCCAGAGATCTGCTGATGTTTGCCGTTCTACAGGAAGACAAATGCACATAAAATTCCAAGAAGAAAAGCTGCTCTTAGGAGAACAATAATTTAATTTAATTACATTTTAAAATACCTTTGATCTTTCATACCCCATGTGAGATAACTGCTGAAGACTAAACAGAATATATTTCAGCTTTGTCTGTTACACCAAAGACCAGTTATTAGCAGGAAACACAACCATTCTCAAAGCACAAGAGCTATGCTTTGTTAAGGAGAGAAAGCACAAATAAACTAAATTTTTCTGAATTTAACAATTGTAAGACAGAAGGCATTAATTCTTAATATTGAGATCAGTACTAATTTCAAAAAAGAACGAGGAAAAATATTTGCACATAACATTTCGTATTATCTTTTGTTATTAGCTTTAATTCCTATCCTTAATGTTGCCATTATAGTTAAAATTCCTTTCTAAGTAACTCTTCTTATGCAAGGAGTTCCAGTCCCTAAAATCCCTAACCTTCTAGAAGTACAAAGAAAGCCAGAGGGCAGAAACTCTTAAGAGGCTAAGAAGTAGAGGTAGGTAGGGTGGGAGAAACACGACTCCCAGTTGACAGTCACTGATAATGAAAGTTTTTACTGAAGAGTTATCATATTTGAGAAATACAAGCTAATGGGAACATGCCTGTGTCTGTTCTAGAACTCAGGCTATTATCGTCATCCTTTCTAAGTGTATGGACCTTTCCACACTCTGAACTTTTGTTACTTCTCATTAGTACTACTCCAGTTCTTGAGAGAAAAGTAATCAATCATCAGGTCTACTTCAATGATGTATGTTTTTCCAACTATATTTTTAAGGAAAAATATATAGACAAGAAGGAGGCTCTGGTGGCTTTGTAGGTAAAGAGTTGCTCAGACTACCCAAGCGCAGAGAGTCTGAATCTACCAGCTACTCCAAATGAGAAACATGGACAATCTCCTCCTGTGTAATTAACAGCCTCTGAAAACCCACTGCATGGTCAGCTGTGTGCCGGGGATGACTCATCAGCACATAATAACTAAACAACATACAGTTAAGATGATGGTTCAGATAGCCAAGTAACTGTTCAAAGAAGTTAAAAGCTTTAGGTCTGTTCTGTAATACTCGGACATCATTAAGAATTGTGACCTAAGTTCCTATTTATCTGAGCACATAAAATGGTACCTTTCTCATTGAAGAATACAAACATTCTTACTTCTGTATTTCAAGTTATCAACCCCATATACTGTTAGGTTGCATTTAAACAAGATCTAAATTTGGGTCTATCACATGACCACACACACTTCTCTTTAAAAAATCAAAAACAACCCAGCCCTGTAATAGCTGTCAAAAACTATTTGGGAGGAGGCTCCACAATGCAGGCTGGCCTATGGTGCTATTCTAGGGCTGGTAGCAGCATGGTATGCTGTACCCAGATTCTTCCAATCTTTTCACTTTGCATTTTAAACAAAATCTTTTACTGACGTGACCTTCTGACTTCTGAAATGTAGAACTGCAGACTTCAAGAACTGGAAGAGCTTTAGGTCAGCAGTTTTAAATCTTTACCAGCAGAACACTCACCCTCCCTACAACAAATCTTCGCTAAAACAGCAATGACAATGAAACTGCCAACTGTGTAGCTTCCCTGTTGTGAAATGGGGTGAGAGAAGAGCACTGCCTGGCTGTCCCAGCTTCCTCTCCCACCTTCTGGTCATCCCTCAAATGGCTGTCTTCCAGATGCCAATTTTAAATTACAATTGCCAACCTAGTGCAGGTCCTTTATCTCACACACGAGTAAACTGAGGCAAGGGCAGGTGAAATGTCTTGCCTATCAGTATTTAGTGAGTCAGCATCTGAACTGAAATTATAACCGAAGTCTCAACATTGTGAGCTCTCTTCTTTTTCATTAAACCACACTGGCCAATCTGTTAAAAGCACATATGAAAATAAGACTACTTAATAACAAGCAAACATAGTTTGTATTTATGAGATAGCTGTAACAACAATGACATTTTTCAACAGGCATTTCTAACTTCTTTCATATCACTTTTACATCAATTTAGCCATACCAGTGCTTCCAATTCCAGATGAAGACTCTTCTTTTTAGAGTTTAACCTGACAATTTCTTCCTGTTCTCTATTCCTTTGATTAAGAAGCTCCTGTCGACGAATTCTCTCCCATTCTAAACGACGCTGTCTCTCAAGTTCTTGTTTCGCTGCCTGAAAACAGTGACTTGAAATTAATTTTTAAATTCAATATGGGTGCCATTTAAAAATAAGACAGGATAAAAAATGTGGCGATTAGACAGTTTTTCCGCAGTTGGTGGGCTTTAGTGCTGAAGGCTAACGGGACACACTGAGCTTATTAAAAAGTCTCTGGGAGGTAGAAATAGTTCACTGGCTTGGATAACCTCAGCTGTAGGATTTGGTTCACTCAGAGCAACCAGGGAAGAAAGGCCTAGAGGTTGTTTTCCAATAGTAATTCAATGCAGACACGGAACCCCTTATAGAGAATAGTTCTACTCTGACATACATAGAGTTTACCTTGAGTAGAAATCAATTTAACAGGATTTGTTAGTACTGATGTTTAACAATGCAGTTAAATTAAAGACTCACTTTTCCACAAAAGTAGGTTCAACCATCAAGATTAAAAATAAAATTCTATTTTCTTAGGATGATCCTCTCATTAAAAAGCTCTGGTGGCCTATTGTTAAGAAGCTATGCTACAATCAAATGCAGTTCAAATCCATGAGCTGCTCCATGGAGAAGGATGGGCAATCTCCTCCCATGCAGTTAACCGTCTCTGAAAATCCACTGAAGGGTCAGCCATGAGTCGATTCCAACTCAAAGGCACCCAGCAACAATCCTCTCACTGTAGCTACTTTCTTTTTTGTAAGCAAAAAGATGACACCACAAATATAATTTTACTTTTAACCTGGCGATGGTGTTAGGTGCCATCTAGTCAATTATGACTCATAACAAGCTTATGAAAAACAGATCTGAATCTTGTCCTATCTGGTGTCATCTTTATGACGCTTGAGGCACTGTGCCAATTCAACTTGAAGAGCTTCCTCACCTTCTCTGATCCTCTAACTTTACCCACATGATGTCTGGTATCAGGGAAGAAAAAGACTCCAAAAACCTTCTATCTACATTATTTCAGTGACACTGGGTTTGGTGGTCTACCGGGTAAGGAGCTATGGTGCCAATCCAAAGGCAGTGGGAGCAAGCTGGCAATCTCCTCTTGTGTGATTTACAGCCCTTGAAAACCCACTGCAGAGCCAGCTATGTTGGTTCCAATAGCAATGAGTGAGTAATAACTAACTGTGCCCTAGTCTCCAATCCTTACAAAGTCTTCTTAGGGACTCAACACACCACTATTTATCTCAAAAACCTGTGCAAGATCATCATCCTAATTCTTTCTAGCCCTGTGGCTCCCTACTCTTGTCTCTCTGCATCTTTAATTCATTGGTCTCTTAATCTGAGTTGTTTAAATTTATTCTCTTTGTTCAAAGACCTGTTGGGACTAATCTGCTCTGCTTTACTGACCTTAATCCTCACTCAATTCCATTTTGCAATCAGCATTCTTTGGATGGAGATACCATCTAAAAAGACGTTTTAATACTCTGCCAGTCACCACAACAAGATAAAGGTAAATAATCTAGTAGAAAAATGGACACAGGATATGAACAGACACTTCACCAAAGAAGACATTCAGATGGCCAACAAGCACATGAAGAAATGTTCGAAATCCCTTGCTCTAAGAGAGATGCAAATCAAAACAACTATGAGATACCATCTCACCCCAGTCAGAATAGCAAAATTTAATAGAATAGCAAACAACAAATGCTGGTGAGATTGTAGAGAAACTGGAACCCTTTTCACTGTTGGTGGGAGTGTAAAATGATGCAACCACTGTGGAAGGCGGTATGGCGTTTTCTCAAAAAGTTGCAAATAGAGATACCATTTGACCCAACAATTCCACTACTGGGAATTTACCCTAAAGAAACCATAACTAACACCCAAGCAGATATATACACACCCATGTTTATTGTGGCTTTGTTCACAATAGCAAGGAGTTGGAAACAACCTAAGTGCCCATCAACAAACGAACGGATACAGAAGCTGTGGTATATTCACACAATGTAATACTACGCTGCATTGAAAAACGAGGTGCAGTATTATTCAAAATGGTTGACTCTGGAGAACATTATGCGAGTGAAGTATCCTAGTCACAAAAGGACAAATACTGCATGGTGCCACTGTTGTAAAACAGGACTGACCTCGGGGTTGGGGGGAGACTGAGAAAGATGGGTTTAATAATGTATACTGCATTGAAAGAGATAAGGGAGAAAACTGTTTAAAAGGGATATGTGATTAGGTATTTTTGTCATGACAGGAGTCCAGAGTGAAGGCTGCATAGTGGAGTGGATCTGGGGGGGAGGGACTGTAAAACAATGAAATAATTTTTCTTTTACTTTTCCGAGAGGGTAGTGTACTAGGGGGTAGGGTTGGAGGGGAGAAAAGTGGAACAATGAATGAATGGAAATCCAAAGTCTCTGTAAATTTTCGCTGAAATAAATAATACATTAAAAAAAAAAAAAAATCACAAAACTCTGCCAGTCTCCAACTGAAAAACCCCTCTCCAGCAAGAAGCCCTTTCCATCCACAAAAGGAAGAGCCAGGTTTGTAAAGGATAAGTAAGAATGAGATGAGGGGGAGGAAGAAGCATAAAGTGAAAGGCAATGAAAAGTGTTGATTTTCTTGTAAAACGAAATTGGATAATAACCTCGCGTCTCTCTATCTCTTTTCTCCTTTCCTCTTCCCGTTGTCTCTCCAGCTCCCTCTGTTTCTCCAGGCGTTTTTCTAGTTCAAGCTGCTTCTTCCACTCCTGCTCCTGCAGCTCCCGCTGCTTGCGTTCCCACTCCTCCTTCTCTTTCTGGGCCTTGCGCTCCGCCTCCCTCTGCTGCTGTTCCAGCAAGGCCTGCCGTCGCTTTTCCAGTTCCATGTTGCCTCGCTCATAGTTGGCTTTCCACTTGTCCTCAAAAGTAACTAAAAGAGATGGATATTCACATCCTCACCCAGTAAGAACCAATCTGGCCTCCACCGCTGCCAACCTTGCATGCATGTGAGTGCTAATATCACCCTTTAGAAATTTTTTGTAAGGAAACTCAACTTAAAAGCAAATAGAAAAAGTTTCTTCTTTTAATAGGAACATTCATTTAAAAAAAACAAACAAACCCTAAATAGGAATCTATTAATAAGAGAAATAATTTTACTCTCCCTGCCAATAAAAATTACTCCTCCAATTTTCTCAGCATTTTCTTCAAAAGCTATGTCAGACTCAATTTAAAAAAGAAGCTCAGGTGGGTTAGTGGGTAAGGAACTAATTGTCCACCCAAAGACAGGCAGTTTGAAACCACCAGTTGTTTCTCAAGAGAAAAACAGGCAATCCGCTCCCACTCAATGTGGGCTATATATTTCAGGACCTTTTTAAAGTATTTTAAAACATCTATATGTATTCTTCTTCAAGGCATATTTATACTTTGTTGACAGCTAAAGATGTAATCACAGAGCTTGCTATAATGATTCCACCTCAAGTGAGAGAACAGTTAACTGAGATTGGCTACCCCTGGGTCAAATGCATATATTATTATTTCTTCTTTTATATGATTCTTCATAATTTTAGCTCTCGTCATTTTATGCATAGCAATACTGACTCATTCGAAAAATAGTTTATTCGGTATACCATCTAAAATATTTTTAAAATGTGAAAATTCTAAATGTTAATTGGCAGTTCTACGTAAAAGTTCTAAGAACTCAGTTTAAATATACAACTTAGGCTTCAATGGTACCTGGTAATTTTTTCTGGGGTTCCTCTTCTTGCACTTTCTGGTATGTGGGCAGAGTTCCATTAATGGAATCAACTTGCTTTCCTCCTCTATGGAAAGCAAACAATAAACAAATTTAGCATCAGACTGTCTGAGAATGTTCAGACAAGCCTATCATCTGATAAAAGCAATATGGTATTTAGAGATATTCAAGGAACAGTGTGGTCTGTAGTTAGCAATGTACAGTAGCATAAGGGTCCTTCAACCAGACAGAACTTGATTTAAATTGTGGTTCAGCTAATTGCTGTTCTTGGGCAAGTTTATTTTTAATCTCTTCAATAATCAGTTTCCTTATCTCTAAAGTGCTAAGAATATACCTACTTCTCTAACATATACTCTTCTCAGTGCAACTCATTAAATACTTAAAAAAGCAGTGTAAATATTTAACTCTCCTCTAACCTACAGTAGAGGCTCCAGGAAATAGTAAAGTAATAATCTATCTGCCAGCCAATCAGAACGACGCTTCTTCACCTGCAGATGCACTCACCTGAAAGATGGAGGGACGAGCTCAGGAGGTAACGTCAGTGGCAGTGGCTGCCCGGCCTTGGCCATGTCGGTGAGGTGCATCGCAAGGATGAACTCCTCAGCCCTGAGCTGCCCATCACCATCAATGTCAGCCAGAGTCCTGCAGAAAATGTGAAAAGCCAGAATTTTAAAGAGAGAGCAAGCAGAAGAGTTCAGGGCAGAGTTCGGAGCAGAAGAGTTCAATATTTTGTGTGTAAATTAAGAATAATGATGACCAAACAGCTGAGTTGACATACTGTGATGAAATATAAGTATATTAGGGAAAATTATAGTTAATTGTTCCCTTTAATGTTTGTATTACAATGAATAGAGAAAAAGCTTTTGAAACAGAAAAGGAAGGATTTCTGAAAAGGTAGCCTGCCTTGTTTCAAGATAAATTTTATCAAATCATATGAGCTATACATTAAAAATGAGATATATTAAGAGCTGCACAGTAAAGTGTGTTTGGGGGACTGCATAGCAATGAAAGAACTTTTTGCCAAGAAAAAAGTGAACTGGGGGGAGCGGGAAGCAGGAAAGAAAATATGCAACAATGAATGAATGAAACCCAAGTTCTTTATAAACTTTCATTAAAATCTCAATTAAAAAAATGAGATAATCTGATTCTCCATAGCAGGAACTATATAAAGGCAAACAACAGTTTCATTTATAAAATAATAAAATGCCAAATTCTCCAGAATAACATTTTGCAAATTTAGATTTGCTTTTAAGGTCACATTAACTTTCAAATGGCTGCTTTTATAGAGCATCTTTGAGTCAAACTTTTACAGAATCTCTATTGCTATGAGTCAGAATCAACTTCAACAGTGACCCCAGCAACACATCTTTCCTTTGACAGGGGATGTATAATTGAAAAGCATAAGAAAGGGAGAAACTCACCAAATAGTAGCTAGCTGAGTTTGAGAGAGATTTGACTGGAGAAGGGCATTTCTAGCTTGAAATCCTAATTATTGAATAGGAAAAACAATTTTAAAAAGTCATTAAAGTCATGCAAACTTACACAGATACACCTACAAATGCACCTACTGACACAATAAAAACTTCTTCCTCACCATCTTTATTTTTTAGTAAAGTTTTAGGTTCTCTCTCTCACACACACACATACACAAACACACACACTATTAATATCTTGTATTACTATGGTACACTGTTTACAACTGATGAACCAACAGTGCTATAAATGGAGTGACAATATGCAGCCTTTTCAAACCAGCTTCCTTCTCTCAACAATATGCATTTCTGGTCTGTCCATGTCTTTCAGTGCTTGGCAGCACATTTCTTCTCATTGCTCAATAACATCCCAGTGTATGTAGGTATCCGTTTATCTACTCATCTGCTGAAGGTCAGCATGTTTGCTTCCATGTTTTAGCAATTATGAATCAGGCTGCTATAAAAACCACATATAGGTTTTTGGATACTTAAGTCTTAAACGTATTTGGGTAAATCTCGGAGCTAACTGGTATAGTGGAATTTTTAGAATGCAAAAGATTTTGCCAAATATACCATTCAGTAGCAATCAAAACACAAGCCCCTATGCCAAAGAGTTTGAGATCCAGTTAGTAGAATCAGGTGTTCTCCCATTTCCTTTCAGCACAGTGTACAATACCATGCCACCAGCAGAGTGTTGAGGGGCGAAGCTGTCAGCTCCCTTACACATCGAGTGACATCTTCAGATTCTCTCCTGGCTCTTCTGGAGTCCTCATGTTTCCAGCCTTTCTCTCCTCAACACTATTATTCCCCAAAGATTGTCTCTGTTCACACCCATTTCTAAGGCTTTAAATACCAACTAGAAGCTGATGATTCCCACACGTTAGATTTCTATTTCACTGAAAAATCCACTTACATATCTCAGGAATCTTAAATTAATCTAAAACTTTTCTCTCAGTTCCCATTCATCCCCTCTTCCTAATTTTCACCACAATCCATCTTCTCCCAATCTTTATAAATGACATCACTTCCATTCAAGCCAGAAACCCCAAAAGCAGCCTCAATCTTTCCTCCTTCTCTACTCCCAAGTGCCAAGAACTACAATTCTATCATTTCATGTCTAGGGATTTGTCTCAACCTCACTTTCCCAGAAAGGTCTTATCTGCCTACCCCATCACTCAATATACTTAACATACTTAGGCTTTTTTCTTTACAGCTCATAACACTATATGTAATGCAACATTTAGAGTCAGTAAGTGGTACAAAAAGAGTCCCAGTGATGTAGTGTGTTGTTAAGACTGCTATGTGACAGGCTAGTGGTTCAAATCTATCAGCTGCTCCACGGGAGAAAGAAAGATGGACTGTTTCCTCTGCTAAACACCTGGAGACTCACAAATCTGGTAAGATGCCATTCTGAGCTGGAATCAGTGCAACAGCAGTGGATTTGTATGGGGATTTTTAGGTGGGTGGGTAGTGCCAAGAGGTACTTACTTGGCTGATCATCAAAAGGTAGTTAAAAGTGTTTTTTAAAAGGTTTAGCACCCTACTTCCAAACCTGGGCCCTGGAAACCCTGAAGGACCATAGCTCTGTTCTGACACACATCAGTCACCACGTGAGCTGGTCATTCTAGCCCAACATTTATTGACTTGTTTTTGTGTTCTCCTATCCTGCTAATAATACCCACAAAGACAAAAATCTTGACAGCCTCATTCATTGATGTGTATCAATACTTGCCACATAAATGTATAATAAATATTACTAAAATAATGAACAAAAATGTAATCCAAAGTTCTTCTCTTTAGGGTGGAGTAGGGAGTGATCTGAAGGCTTCTGATGAAAAGAACAGCAGCTGGTATTTACTGAATGCTTGCCATGCATCACCACTCAACTCCTCTTCCCTCACTTTCTGTATCAGGCTTCGTGATCTGTAATGTTACCATCAGGATACTGAGCACACAGAAGCCCAGGAGCATGTTCCAGAACAGAAAAATCACTGTCGGCTTCCAGCTTTCCCTCTTGGTGAGCTGGTCTGGCCCTTCCTGGTCTATGGATGCAATTCTGTCACTTCTCCAGAGATGTCACCCAGCCGGTAAAGCAGGTGCTGCACTTGCCACCCCAGGGGGCTGCGGATGAGGAGGAGGGGGTGAGCTCCTACTGAGGTCACCCTAAGTCATGGCATGACCAAAGCAACTGTGCATGCAATAAGGGAAGTCTGCCACCACTTCCCCAGCAACAACTGCTCCCGTTCCCCAGGCAGCATGAACACAGCCGAGCCCACTGCTTCACTGAGTGCTGAGCACAGAGGCCTTGGTAATTAGAGTGATATAAAACAGACAAAATGTCGTGCATTATGACATGCATTTGTATCTTCAAATGATATACTTTTTATCCTCTTGTCTAACCTAATAGATGTTAACAGAATAGGCCACTTAAAAGAAATTACAAAAAGAAAGAAACAAAACCAAACAAAGAAAACCCTAGATAGAAATCAAAATGGCACCCAACTAGAAGCTCTGGTAGCACAGTGGCTACAGCACTTACTTGCCAACAAAACCCACCACCTGCATTGTGGGAGAAAAGATGTGGCAGCTGACTCCCCTAAAGGTTCATAGCCTTGGACAGCCTACGGGGACATTCTACTCTGTCCCCAGGGCGGCCATGAGTTGGAATTGACTCAACAGCAGTGGCTCTGGTTTGATTTTGGTTTTGTGTTGTAAGGAGTCCTCTTTTAATACAGAGGAGTAGGAGACTATTTCAGCCTGGAAAGAGTTCAGTGATTAATGTCTGAGCTCTTGAACAAAGATGGCTGAAAGAAGATCTGTTAGCATGCAGTAAATGGGGGGGATGAAATGTAAATGGCCAAGCCCTTTAAATGTGTACTGGCATACCATTTGACCCAACAATTCCACTACTGGGAATTTACCCTACAGAAACCATAACTGACACCCAAGCAGAGATATGCACACCCATGTTTACTGCAGCTTTGTTCACAATAGCAAAGAGCTGGAAACAACCCCAGTGTCCATCAACAAACGAATAGATAGAGAGGCTGTGGTATATGCACACAATGGAATACTACACTGCACTGAAAAACAAGGAACTCATGCAATATTATTCAAAATGGATGACCCTGAAGGACGTTATGCTGAGTGAAATATCTCAGTCACAAAAGGACAAATACTGCATAGGGCCACTGTTATAAAACAGGACTGACATCAGGGTTGAGAGAAGACAGAAAAGGAGGGGAGGAATGATGTATATTGCATTGAAACAGAGGAGGGAGAGAACTGTTTATAAGGGATATACGATGGGTATTCTTGTCATTACAAAAGTTCAGAGTGAAGCCTGCTTAGTGGAGTGGACTTTGGGAGAGGGATTGCATAACAATGTAAGAGTTTTTCTTTTCAAGGAGAAGTGTGACTTAGGGGGGAGGGAGTGGGTAGGGAGAAAAGTGCAACAATGAATGACTAGAAACCCTACCCTAAGTCTCTGTAAACTTTCATTAAAATTAATTTTTTTAAAAAAGTGTACTGGCAAAGTGTGAATAATGTAAAAGGGCTGCAAAGTGCCAGCAAATCACTCTTGTAAGAAAAACACACTAGAACATGCTATACTCTTGTTCTACCAATCCTTTGGCTATCCTATTTCCTCTGCCCGGAATGCTGTTCTTCCACACTTAGTCTGGTAATCTATTTACCCTCTATGATCTAGCTCAAATGTCATCAGCTCTGGGAAGCCGCCCTTGTATCTTCACAGTCACTTCCTCATCTATATGAATCACAGCCCTTTTCAAACCCTTAACCAATTACTGTGATTATCTGAGCTATACCATGAATGTTTCAAATGTATATAGATCATGTCTTCTCCTTCATATTCCAGTACTTAGAAAGGTGCAGAGAAAATATATGAACTCAGTAAATAGGTGAAGTAATGAATTGATCTATGCTGACGATTAAAGGTTTGGGGAAAGAAGAGAAGAAAATGACAAGGAGAAGTGGCAAAGTCCAGAAACTGCTACATTTGCTGAACACGGAATGCACATGTAAGCCCACCTTACCTGGGTGCTCAACTCAGTTTCAGAACACTGGAAATAAGCACTCTTTACAAAGAAAACTCTGAACTATGTATACAGCTATGTATAAGGATATATAGCCTGGGAAGTCTCAGAAAAGCATTCTCTCAAAAACGACAATATTCGGCTTTTCCTCTCTGGACCCAGACCTGGGGCACGTCCATCCCGGGGCGGTGCTGGTTGGCTCTGCCTCGCCTGGCTTTCCCTGCTTTAGTTTTCAATCTTTTAACAGTTGGGAACCTGTACTCGCACCATTTGGGTACAAACCTGAAGTCTATGACTCGAGGCCATAAAAAAAATTAACAAGGGATGTAGGGTCTTTTATGACTTAAGCTAGCAAATACAACCTAAAATCTAAAGGACTTGCCATACCAGTGGATTGCATAGAATACAATGCCAGTCTCTTGTCTTCTATTCACCATGGCTTCTTCTGACATCCAGGTGAAAGAGCTGGAGAAACGCGCCAGGCCAGGCCTTTGAGCTTATCCTCAGCCCACGGTCAAAAGAATCTGTGTCAGAATTCCCCCTTTCCCTCCAAAGAAGAAGGATCTTGCTCTGGAGGAAATTCAGAAGAAATTAGAAGCTGCAGAAGAAAGACGCAAGTCTCATGAAGCAGAGGTCTTAAAGCAGCTTGCTGAGAAAAGAGAGCGTGAGAAAGAAGTGCTTCAGAAAGCAATAGAAGAAAATAACAACTTTAGTAAAATGGCGGAAGAAAAACTGACCCACAAGATGGAAGCCAACAAAGAGAATAGAGAGGTACAGATGGCTGTTAAACTGGAGCGTTTGCAAGAAAAGGATAAGCACGTTGAAGAAGTGCAGAAGAACAAAGAATCCAAAGATCCTGCTGATGAGACTGAAGCCGACTAATTTGTTCTGAGAACTGGCTTTCTCCCCTTCCCCTTCCTAAATATCCAAAGACTGTACTGGCCAGTGTCATTTTCTTTTTTTTCCCTCCTGACAAATATTCTAGAAACTGATGTAGGACTCTATAGGTAGATCAGACTGTAAGAGGTTGTTTTAGGGGCTAAAAAGGAGAAACTGAAAAGTGTTTTACTCTTTTTCTAAAGTGTTGGAGTCTTTCTAATGTAGCTATCTTTCTTGCTGCATCTTTTCTACTTCAGTGCACTTGGTGTACTGGGTTAATGCCTAGTACTCTACTGGCTCTGTGGAAACATGTTTGTGAAAAGAGTATGTAGTGGCTTCTTTCAAAACTGTTAGATGCTGAGTATCTGTTCACACTTTTAAATCCCAGTTCTGTCCCAATTTTACCAGATACTACTGTACTTGAAAGGGTAATAAAGCTGCACAGTGATGTTGGTGAAAAAAAAAAACACACACACAAAAAACTGATAACATTCAAACTACCTGGCACATAAAAAGGAAAAACAAATCACTTTAGGGGTCATTTCCTTACTGCCAGGGTTCCCATTAACGTCCTTGAGCAGCACAAGCAGTGTGCATTGAGCTACTAACCCAGGAACTAGCAGTGAAACTCACCTAGTGTTACCACAGAAAAACGGCCCGGCAATCGGCTCCCACCGAAATCACAGGCAATGCAACCACAGGGAGTTGTTCTACTCTACTAACACACAAGGTTGTCACGAGCTGGAATCAACTTGACGGCAGTAAGGTCAGGTCTCCACTGTCATTCATCGTCTAACACACACCCACCTTTGTTTATACTGTGTACTGTTTCTATCATTGTCTGGTGCCCTCCACTCAGGCCCAATTCATTGCAATCCTATGTACATGAGAACAAAATCCTGTGCCGTTCCCACAATCTCTGCTGTGCTTAAAGCCAGTGCTGCACTCACTGTCAGTCCACCTCACTGAGGGTCTTTCCTTCAATGAACTTCTACTTTTCTAAGCAATGCTCTCTTCCAGAGATTAGCCCTCATGACAACATGCTCATAGTATATGTTGGCGGTTTTTGCCAATGAGTGACTCAGAGTGGACCCTCCAGCTGATTTTCAGAGGCTGTACATCGCAAGGGAGAAGACTGCTCATCTTTCTCCCTCAGAACAGCTGATGGACTCATGACTCCTTACCCACTTGTTGTATACCATCAAGTCAGAATCAATTCGTAGCTGACCTTTCAGCAGGTTTTCAGAGGCAGTTAATCACACAGACTGTCCATCCTTCACCAAGGAGCAGCCAGTAGATTTGAATTGTGAGCCTTTGGGATTACAGTGCAGTTTCTTACCACTAGGCTCCCAGCATTCCTCATTCACTGTTGTTGTTAGGTGCCATTGAATCAAGTATAAACCATAGCGAGACCCTGTGAACAATGGATCTGAATCCTGCACAACCTCACATTTTCTGACACACCTGTGCCCCTTGCAGCAGTCACCATGTCAATCTATCTGGCTGAGGAAGGGCCTTACTCACTCGGCCACATAAAATGTACTGATCTTAGCCAATACCCACAATAAGACAGAGGATGCTTCCAGTAAACAAGGAGGTTCTGGGCAAAACAACAAGACTGATTCCTTCACCATCAGTCAGGCTTCCCTGTTCATCAGCTATATGGGAATGAATTAAAGAGTACGTATTCTTTTATGCCTCATCCAGTACAATATCTATGAGAGCCATCAGTGATGTCACAGTATGAGCAGTTCATTTTTTAAATTGCTATTATTTTTCTCTATAAATATCATTTATTTACACACTCTTTCTGTGACGAATATTTGCCATAAACATTTCTCTACATGTTTTGTTAATCCACCTTCATCAATCTGAAAAAATAAATTTCTTTAAGGCAAAATATAAGAGTGAAAGAGACTCATTTTTTTCAGAGTGGCAACTGGCGGTACATTAGTGCCAAGTATGTTTTAAGAGCATTATCTCACAGATTCTAAGATGCCATTAAGCTGCACTATTATTTTATGTAACATTAAGAATGAAAAAGAAACAATGCCAATAAACCTATGATATAATGCTAAGACAAAGCTTATTGTAATTCACACCTCAATTTCCAGAGATGTTAAACCATTTTCAAAATAGCATGCCATTACACTATAATCCTGTTTCACACGATTTGATAAAAATGTTACAGAAAATTTTAACGATTATATGTCTGGCACTTACAGAAAAACATATATGTAAAATATGGAATATAAGAATAAGACAATAATTCATAAACTTATACCAAATTCAAGAACTAGATCACTCTCAATGCCTGGAAGCTACATGTGTCCCTCAACTTTATATGGCCTTCTTCATATGAAGTGAACAAAATTAATAAAATTTTAGCTTAATTCACTTGCTTTTTAAAAAAAAAAAGTTTGCATCATATAATAATGCATCCTTAAAAGAAATATAACATAGTTTTACTTGCCCAATCAATTCTAAAAGTCTTACTCTCTGGCGCCACTTAACAACTAGGGGTTCCATTCCCTTGCTTCACAGGCTACATTACATTCTACAAACATGCTTGTGCTCTTCGTTCCGGATATTCCCTCTGTCCTCCTCTAATGCCCCCACTTTCAATCTCGTATTTGTTCAAATCCAATTCTTCAATGATGGAGTTTAACTGTTCCCTTTCTACAAGAGATTCTCCCTATTTCCTCGGCATTCCTATATGCTAGTCTGTATTTCTTAATATTTTAGAGTTATATTACTTTTTAAACATTTATTTATTTACTCTCCTCAAAATCACAATTAACAGCTAAATTAAGGAAGACTAAGGAGAAGGAATGATATTATGAGTCGTCTACGACATGATGGCACTTAACAACAACAAGGAAAAGGAATAACTTGCATTATACAGATGACACAAATTACTTACTGAAACTAAGGAGGGTCTGAATCATTTGCTGCAGAGCATAAAGGACTATAGTTTGCAATATGGATTGAAGCTCAACGTCAAGAAAATGAAGATTCTCACCACTGGGCCAACTTGACAGCACATGATAGATGGTGAAGATACTAAGGTTAATAATTTCAGCCTGCTCAGACCAACAATCAATGGCCCCAACAGTCAAGAAATCAAAAGACAAATTGCTCTGGGGATGGCTGCTGTCAGGGATCTTGGAAAAGTGCTGGAGAGCAACGATGTCAGCCTATAGACTAAGGTACACCTAATCAAGGTCATGGTCTTCACAATTACTTGCTATGCATCAGAGGGCTGGACATTGACAAGGATGACAGAAGAATTAAGGCCTCTGAGTTGTGGTGCTGGAGAAGAGTATTGAACATACCATGGACTTGGAGGAGAACAAACAGTTCTGTCCTGGAGAGGGTGAAACCAAAGTGCTCCTTGGAGACAAGGATTGTGAGGCAGAGTCTCACATACTTTGGGCATGTAGTCAGAGGGACCAGTCTTTGGAGATGATGTATCATGCTTGTAAGGGTCGAGGGACAGTGAGTACAGGCGAGGAAGACCCCAGATGAGATGGACTGATAAGTGATTAAATGGACTGATAAGTGGGGTAGTGAGAGTGGGTTTGTTAGAGTCGGAGATCGTCTCAGGATAGAGCAGGATTCAGAGCTGCTGTGCATAAGTGCCCTATTAGTCATAGTCGACAGCACTTAATAACAACAAATAATCACAATTTAGTGCTGAGTGAAGACAGGGAGGTGAGAATAAAAAGATGTGAACTCTATTATTCTCCATTTATAATCCCTTTGCTATCCTCAATCAATCAGTAGTTTGGATAATGATGACGACTGGATTCAAGGGTTCTACAGGGATTAAGGTCAAGACTTAGGGTCATATTTTGGGTGCAGCATTAATGGATGAGCACTGCTCTGCTGAGTCCAGTCACAAAGGACTCAATCTCATCCCTGAGAATGGACAGGGAGCTAAAGATAAGTGCCACACATTCTCCCTTATCCCCGAGTTATGCCATTCACTGCAAAGCTTAAAGGATGAGGACTGATCTTTTCAAGGAAGAGGTTTCTTATTCAAAAGACTAGGTGTTCAATTTGTTCATAAGAATTTTAAAGAAACTCATCAAGAACTGTTGAGCCTTTAATTCATGCACAACTTATAATATTTGTATTATAACGGAATATCTTCTAAATTATTTGGGTGTTAAAACTTGTACTAAACAAAGTACAAGCTCAAGTAAAGCTTTTTCAATAGTCCATATTAAAAAGACTTCTCTTATACTCTCAAGCACTTCACAGCACTTACCTGAGAGATAGCCACTCATGCTTTTGTCGAGACTATTAAATTTCTGCCGATATTTTAATCTTGAAGGCTGAGGAACTGCCCACTCTGAGGTTCCAGTCTTGGGCGAGTTCCCCGAGAGTGATGCAGTTGAGGAAGTAGAACTGTAACAAAATAATTTGATTGCTGTCACTAATAAGTATCAAATTAAACTTAATAGAGAAAACACATTAAGAATCATACCTTACATAATACAATAGTAATGGATTTTGGATTTGCTAGTGGAAAAAAATTCAAGTTATTATCTTTATTTTTAATAAAGCAGATACTCACATGAAGCATGAAACTCATTAAGATTACTGTACGTCAAGAACCCATTAAAGTCAAGGCCTTGCATTATGCCAGGACATCACTCCCAATCCTCACAATAAACAGAAAAGATACCATTATCTCCATATTTCAAACAGGTAAGTTATGGCTCAGTGATGTTAACAAAACCTGTCGTGAGTCACATGGTCACCGGGTGCTTAACCTAAGATCCAAATGTTCTTCTGGGTCAAAGGCAACACACATAATAATTTGCTTTAAAGAGCACTATAGTAATTTGGATGAGGGAACTCTGGTGACCTTTTGATAAGGAGCTGTGCTGCCAACCTGAAGGCACTCAGTTCAAATCCACAAGCTGCTCAAAAGGAAAAAGATAAAGCAATCTTCTCTCATGCAATTTACAGCCTCTGAAAACCTGTTGGTGGGTCATCAGGTAATAATGGTGAGGAGCTCTGAATGTTTAATGCTTTTGTGTGTGATAAATTTTAAAAGATATTCAATCAGCAGAATTTTCTTAAGAAAGAATGAACCTATATAATTACTATGAGACATATTTTCCTAAGCATATTCATTTTTTCTAAAGGAAAATTCAAAGTTTTGGAGGGAAAGAGAATTCCAAAAATAGCAAAACATCTGTACTCTCTACTACATTCTTAAAAGTAAAGTACAGTAATTATAAAAACAAAAACACAGAGAAAACTACTTTACGTGAGTTGTAAGTAGAACATTTACCCTAAGCCTTTATATTTGGCCATTGTAAAGTAAAGCTTGGATAAGCTCTGAACTTTAAAAGAGTTGTGTTATACTTACTGAAAGGAGAAAAAAAAAGAAATATTATATATACATACATACCTGCTAGATCCTAAATCAATCAGAGACTGCGCCTTCTGTATACTAGCACCACCAAATCCTCCCATCATTAGACTGTATGACGACGTGTGAGGCAATGCTGGAGGGGTTAAAAGGAAAGAGAAAATAAAACCCTAAATAACCAGGTAAGAAAAGCTTAGCAGTTTTACAAATTATGAAAGAAATATGCATCTATCTGGACACAAGGATAGCAGTTTCATTTCTTCATATGACACACTGACTCACTAGCCAGAAGGGACTTACTTGAAGAAGAATAAGGAATGGACAAAGGCTGAATGAGACTGGCGGTTCCATTTGGTAATGACGATGTGCTAACAGAAGGCACTAGGGGAGCGGGCATCATCAAGGGAGGAAGAGTGGTCCCTGACGTCGCCGAGGACAAGGGGGTTATAGGTGCAACTGGAGGCAGTGGCTGAGGAATGGATAGATTGGGCATGCTTCCCATTCCTAAAACAAGAGAGAACATTAGTTCATGCCAATACATCAATAATAGAGCGCACACCAGTAAAAGAGTTTACAGAAGGCAGCACCATGTGCTCATAAAAATCCTATGGGTTTCAAATGATCTGTTCTTAGAAAAGTCCCCAAAGTAGATGTGACCTAGATGTGAGGTAGGTAAATTACTGCTTTTAATATCAACAGCGTGATCTCTGTGGAACAAGAGAGTGACTCCGGAGTTGGAAATCCTCTTCTCTCATCATGAAGAAATTAAATTTGCAATTATTTTAAGCAGGCTTTCCCAGTCAAAGGAACATGGTGAGAGGTGGTGTTTTGCAGAAAGGCAATAAATTGAATGTTGCCAAATTAGTTAAAACATGTGTGCGTGCACACACACATGAACATCCTAAATAATAAAAAGCAGGCTCTAACTACTCTTTGGGAGAACCATTTATGCATATGCATTTTTTTGCAAGAAGAAAATGTGCTACAAAATTTTGTATTTCTTTCAAGTAAGATATGAATTCAAAGACAACTGTTTAAAAGAAACAAATGACAGTTTTAATTCATTTATTAAGTGCAGAATACCAAGTACAGTGTACAAAGAATGGCCACATAATGATTTGGTATTTAGCTCCAGTGCTCATTGCAATACTTAACTAATAAGAGTATTTTAAGATTAGGGCAGGGAGAAAAGTGCAATAAAGAATGAACGGAAATCCAAAATCTCTGTAAATGTTCATTAAAATGAACAAAATAAAATTTTAAAAGAAGAGTATTTTAGGATTTAACAGAGGAAAAGGGACTGGCTTCGTATACACAGAGTTACCTAATTGAACATTCCATTCAAAATGAGTACTTCTCACATATAATTAATAAGGAACTGGCTAATTAAAATTAATGGAAAACATACCAACTGGCTGCTCTAATGAGTGTGTAAATTAATTAGCACCAAGTCAACAACTTTTTTTCCCCTTTATTTGTCTAATTAACCTTTAACTTATTCTATTTAAATATAATTTAAAATTATCTCCCAATTTAAACCATTTCGAGTGAGTTTAAAATTGTTGAAATTTTTTTCTAGTTAGTAATTTATAGGAACTCTGGCGGCCTAGTGGTAAGGAGCTGAGCTGCAATCCCGAAGGTGTACAATTGGTATCCACCAGCTGCTCCATAATAGAAGGATGGGTAATCTCCTTCTGTGCAATGAAATGCCTCTGAGAACCCACTGAAGGGTCAGCTATGGGTAGGTTTCAATTCGACAGCACTCAACAAGAAGTCATACATAGCATGGAGAAAAGCACTCAAGAATGGTATTTAGGATCAGCGATAGCTAGGGCCACCTTATAGCTTATTACCCAGCTAGGAGCTGTGAAGGGGACACTAACTGAAACAGCATCACAGGACTATCTGTGGAAAACTGGGACCCATGGACATCCTAGCTATAAAAATGAACTTAATGTTTCTTTTGTCTTAGACATGAAAATTAACTTGGAGTCTGGATTGCCATTTTGTGCTACTAAATCTTCACTTTATCTCTAAGTATAATGCTTAGGAAGCAAAATTAACTATGAAATGTAACAAATTAAAGTACTAAATACTTACCAAAGCGAGCAGAAAGCAAAGGAGAGAACATAGGGGGTTGCTTCATAATAGGAGGAAGGACCACGGGCAACTGTTGGCCTTGAAGCTTCAGCTTGATGAGTTTCATAGCTATGGAGAACTCCTGCTGATCCATCTTCCCATCCTTGTTCAGGTCTGACAAAGTCCTAAAAGAAGGAAGTGCGTAGACTAGCATGTAGGAATGATGTTAAGAAAACCAACCTCAGATTTTGGTTGTTATCAGAGAAAAAGAAACAATGAACATCCCAGGTAGATCATCATTATCGTTTTTTGCTGTGTTTTTTTTTAAAGTGTCATATACACTCACACACATGGGCATGTGTATAAATAAGAAAATATTACTATAATAATAAGATATTAATATGTATATACAGAAACATGAATATTCATAAACATCCAAATTAATATTATATGCATATGTACAAATTCATATGAATATGTATTAATGCATACATGTTTAAATATGAATATGCAGAAATAATATTATATTAATAAATACAAATAATAAAAGCCCCAAACCAGTACACTAAGAAATACTGAAAAGGGACTGGAGAGCATTATATAAGTGAACTAATTCAGTCCCGTAAAGACAAATATGGTATAAGACCATTACTGTATAATGTGAATGAGGAGCCAAGCGGTGAGGGAAGGCAGGGCTGGGGAGTGGTGGTGGGTGGAGGGAGAGGTGGTAAAGGAAATGGGAAAGATCCCATGGGAAAAATAATGTAAATAAACTAGTATAAAATTTTTATTTTAAATTAAAAGAAATACTGAAAAGGGACAGTGTCTAATATAGCATAGCCAGTCTACAGAGACTGGCGAGACCTCCGAGATGAAGTATACTAGTGTGAATGGAAAGAAATCATTCAAGAGCATAGTAACTACAAATACAATTTATCCTTTTGCTTAAATATTTGTTGAATGCATGTTATATAATTGGTTATTGGTAATGGGAATAATCCATGTATACTGATGGGGCAGGCTCTTAGTTATTACGACTGTATCAAAAAATAAAACCCCAGTATTACGAAGAGTAATGTCTGAAGGTAGAAACACAAGAAAAGTATAATTTGGTGTTTACAGATGATGACATAGCTAAGAAATAATAGAAAAAAGGATTGTTTACATTTCCCCCCAAATATAAAGAAATAAGACTCTAAGGATGTGCATATTGCCTTCTTTACTTAGAAATTCTAAGGTCATGAGAAATTTGTCCTATAGAATAAAATCCCAATTATTTTCAAACACTTACTCAATGAAATCTATTTTCAAAAAAAAGAAATACTCTTACTTAAGAGCAATGGACTAAACTTGAAAAACATCTTTCAGGTAGCACTGTAAGTTCACCTCAAAAGAGAACACTTTACCATATTTCCGCCAAGACAGGAGCTGGCAGGCCTGACTGTAAGAAAAAGGTCCGCGCTTGATCACCTATAGGTGAGAGAAACGAAAACCACACAGTACATTACTCCAGTATCTATTAAATATAATTGGGGCATATGCTAATGAGTTATAATTTTATTTCAAGGCATCAAAACCTAAATCAAACTGAAATAACATATTAAAATACATTTCTAATACGGACCAGATACTTAAAAAGTCACAAGCTAAAGATTATACACATTATTCAGTGATGAAGGATCACATTATCTTTGTTTTCTCACAATTGGGTATTATTTGATAAGAATTCTATTAAAGAAAAGGTGTAATTAGTAATTACACAGAGAACACTATTCTTTGTAAAAGCTCAGTATAAAAGGTGCCAAGTAAGAGGAAGCAGTTGTCTGTGGGTGTCTGACGCACACTGCTCTGTCCTGCGAGATAGGCCAGGAATACAAGACTCTCACTGTACTCTACCTGAGTCAGATCTCAGTGCTGGGTTTGCAGCAGGCATCACTGAAGGGATGAGGTAATATCTCTCCCCAGGAAAAGGAATACACTCACTTACTGCTTGCTACAAAATGGGATGCTCCCTCACACTCAGTTGCTTCACTTTAATACATCCACTGTGTGCCCAGCACCCTCCTGGGCTCTCTGCATCAACCCCAAGGGGCTTGAGGAACAAAGAGGTGAGGCAGAATTATGCTGATACAGGTGCTAGTTGTGGTGGTTAGACGCAGTCAAGTCAACTATGAACAGTAGATGGAAATCTTGCCGTATCCTGTGCCATTCTTACAATCTCAGCCATGCTCAAGTACGATTGCAGTCACTGCATTAATCCATCTCGTTGAGGATCAGCTTTTAGAGCATTAGTGACAAACAGGAAGACCCTCAACGAGATAGAACAACACAGTGGCTGTGATAACAAGCTCAAGCAGAACAGCGACCATGAAGATGTGGTGAGGCAACGATCGCTGTACAGAGGGATGGCCATGAGCGGGAACGTACTTGGTGACAGCTAACAACAACAACAACAAAGTTGCTAGCTGTGCTATGAGTTATAAACTCCTGACTCCAGAATCTCAGATCCTCTGCCACCATCTACAAAACAATGCTAGGGAACTTATTAACTTATAAATAGGATCATCAAAAGGCAGCCTGGTGGTTCTAGAAATGGTTTGTGCTTGGCTGCTAACTTAAGATTTGCATTTAACACCCATCCAGCAGTGGTGTGAAGACCTAGCAGTAGTCGACTTCTTTAAAGACTGCAGCCAGGGAAACCCTATGCAACTCTAACACCTAGAGTCCCCATGAATCAGCTCCACAACTACTGGCTGGCTGGTTGGTTTGAAAGCAATCAAAGCCTGGCCCTGACACCAGGTAAAGTACTGTTGCTGTTGTTGTGTACCATCAAGTTGGAACCAACTCATAACTAACTCTCCAGTAGGCTTTCAGAGGCAGTTTATCACATGGGAGAGACTACCCATCTTTCTCTCATGAAGCAGCTGGTGGACTCACACCGCATGCCTTTGGGTTGGCAATGCATAACCCCCCTACTGTTATTATTATAAAGTACACGTAACTTAAATTATAGTGGCTAACATCCCAAAGAGTTCTGGTGGCACAATGGTTAAGCAATTACCTGCTAACTAAGAAGCTGGAAATAAGAATCCACCAGTCACTTCCAGGGAGAAAGATAAACCAGTCGGCATCAGTAATGATTCCAGTTTTGGAAACCCTGTGGGACAGTTCCACTATGTCCTTAGGGTCACTATGTTAATGCCAACTAGTCAGGTTCAAGTCAAGGGGTGGCCCAGTCACCCAAAAGCACCTTGAAAGATCTGGAGTTCTGCTCCCAAAAGTTCACAGCCTTGACAACCCTACTGAACAAACATGGGGTCACCAGAGATTTGCTTGAAGGCAAGTAATTTGGTTTAGGTTAACAGTTGGATGCAAAAGACAGGCTCAATAGTTTCAATGTCCAGATCAAACATGTACCTTCTTGGTGAGCTTAGGGAAATTACATAAAATCTCTTAAGGCTCAGTTTCAACATTCTTAAATACAGTCAACAGTATTATCTGTCATGCAGGCTTCTTGTGAAGCTTAAATGGAATAAAGTATTTAGCATAACACTTCATTTACAAGATACACTTAACAAACGATGGTCATTATGGTTACCATTACAGTAAACCCCAGGGTTACTTAGCTGACTTAGGGATAATTTATACTTGCTCTCTACTGACATATAAACCTGTCCTCACATTGACAAATGACCAAACCCTAGTGGAAACAAATTTTTTATCCGAATCACCTTCACATGCTGCATATGTAGCTTTTAAATCACTGAAAAAGCTCCAAGCCTTTTCTTACAACTAAAATAAGGCTAAATCAGAAACATAAGCACCTGTTCCAACTTAGCTATAAATATGAATTAAACACAATTATTTAGAAGGGAACAAATCTGATTCATAGTGAATGAGAATACATAGTGAATACTATGAGTAAAGCATTACAATGCTTTGCTACAAAAAGAAGTTTCATTTATGAAAGAGACACATAAATCATCCTTAACTATCTTTCTTCAAAACAAGGGTTATTATATGTAATCGGTGCTTGGTATGGCTTCAAGAAGAGTTAGTATTATGAAAACAGATTCCCAAGGGAAAAAAATCTAGATTATTTTTTAACAAATGAATTTGATAAATATTTTTACAGTAATACAGTAACCCTGATCATTATATTAACACAACATATTAAAATAGCACACCAATAAATATGCTTTAAAAACTAAAAGTCTCAATATTTTATAAAATAAAAGGACACATTTCTCAAGTGTTAAAATGTGAAACTGTATAATTAAAGAAAAATTCCTATCATTTGGAATCCTGAAAAAGATTTTCGATATGCTAAAACTAAAACTCCAAATTAAGATAGCTTCAGGAAAAATAAACCAGCATTTTAGAAAAACAATTTCTAGAATTTTGATTGATAGCAATGTTAACACTTTCACAATGCAAAACAGACGGCAGTCAAATTAAAACTCCTTTAAGAGATATAAAAAGGACTTTAATTCATAAACAAAATGTACTTAAAACACCCAAACTAACAAACCAACCTGTTATGTAGCCTCCTGATGGTTTGAGGTTATCAAATTGTTTGTCATGTTTCGTCCGCTCTTCAGAAGTAATAGCCCACATGTTTGGCCCTCCTAAATAAAGTGTAAGAGAAAAAGAAATTAGAAGGTGAGCATGTAAACATGCTCAAAATACAATCTGAAATGTAAAACAAGTCACAGTGCACATTTTAATGAGGTATTTCATATGTGAATTAACACAAAAATTATAGGTCTATCGTAACCATGTTGCTTCCCTGGGCGCTGCTTGTGGATCCTTTAAAAGGTATCACAATGTCAATCTTTTCTCCATCTATCATGATATTGCTTTCAGACAGTGTAGCTGTAAGGATTTTTATTTGCTTTATGAGAAGGTAAGTTGTTTTTTTTTCCTTTTTAAATTATTTTACTTTGTAGAAAAGTTGCAAAACTTATACAGCAAATTCTCCTATACACCCTTCTACATACGGTATAACATCAATGCTGACATCTTACATTAAACAATGGTAAAATACCTCCTTCAACATCAGTGGCTGATGAGCCCCAACAAAACTGGACTCTTGGGGCAGTAGTGACTGTCAAAGTCTCTAGACTTGTATTGTACTACAATCATCTGACATTTGAATAATGCGGGTTAAGGGTACCAACCTCCTTTGAAGTAAAGAAAAAAATCTTATGTTGAATTTATACTTGACCCTTCAAAAATACAACTTTGAACTGCACAGGTCCACTTTACCCCTGGATTGTTTTCTCTACTGCTTTTTCTATAAGCTCACATTTTGCAAGTATTTTCTTAAAATGCTGCCTGTGAAGTGGACAATAATCATCTTGCTGTGAGCAGTTTGTTTCGCTGATAAATTATATTTAGAGGAAAACTATTCATTGGCTAAAATGATGGCTAGAATCACATGGCCTTTTAAGTACACACTCACATTTTGGGCTGCCTGCAACAGGAGAGAGGGGGAATGAACAGTACAGGTCAAATCTACAGTGTTTCAAGGCTCAAGTGTACTGTGAGATTGCCAAATGGAGCAACTGGCAGAGAAGCAGTCGCTGCCTGGAGTACCACCCGGGGTCTAGAACTAGTAGGGTCCCTCACACTGCTACCAACAGCTTACTACTGAACTCTTATTAAAACTCAATGGTAGAGCACAACTAAGGTATTTCTACATAAATAGTAGTAGAAGTTGTTTGCCATCAAGCCAGAACTAACCCATAGCTGAATCTCCAGCAGGTTTGCAGAGACTATAAATGGCATGTCTATCCTTCTCCTGCTGAGCAGTTGGTGGGTTCAAACTGTATCTCTTTGAGATTTCAGTGCATTTCTTTACCAATAAGCCACCAGAGCTCCATCATACATACTAGTATATGGGCTAAATATCTCTAAGTACAGAGCTAGTAAGGAACAACTATGTAAACTTCTGAATTACAACCAAACACCCTGAGAGAATGAGCTGCTGGTTCTAGGGCCATAAGAACATAGCTTAAAAAAATAAGAAATGAAATTTTTATTTTATACTTGTTTACTTAGAAAGTTCATCAATATTTTTCACACCAGATTTTTCCCATTTCCTTTACCCACCCCTTCCATCACCCATCAAATTATGCAACCCTATAATTAACACTCCCCCTCCCCCACCTTTCCCCCATCTTTGTTACCCTTTCCCCCCACCCCATCCTCATACATGAAGAACATAGCTTTGAAGGATGTCAAAGACAACAGGCACAACACAGACCACAAAGACAACGGTCTATACGCTCCTCTGGAGAGTCGTGATTGGAGTTGTAGAAGTTTGCAAGCAGTTATCTAAGGTGCAACTACTACTGGTTGCTCTCTCTTTGGAACAAAAATGAGTAAAAGCCAACAAAGTGGACAGAACAATTAGTCCTTAGGACTAATGGACCCTTGAGTCCTGAAGAACTAGATATTGCCTGTCTACCTCTGCTGACCAGTCAACAGGGATCATCATACAGAGTAGAGGTTGTGGAGAAGTATGGAACAAAGCTCAAAACCCCAAGAATGGCCAAGGTTACTTGTTCAACAGAGTCTGGTAGAGTCTCCAAGAATACAGTCCTTAGTCATCTTTTGAACTCAAAATTGATCCCTATGGCTCAACTTGCAGTCAAATGACAAACAGTCCTATAGAGTAAACAGTAACATCAAGGAAGCATTCACACCATAGAATGATCAACTGTACAAAGGAGTAAGGGATGTGAGAGTCACAGGGAGGAAAGAGGATGAGTATAGTCACACTGTGAGTACTGTACTTAATGCAGTAATACAGAATGTGTAGGAATGGTTGAATGAAAAATCAAAGAGCTTTGGTGGCCTAGTGGCAAGAAACTATGCTGCAATCCCGAAGGCACACGTTCAACGTCACCAGCTGCTTAGCAGGGATCAGCAATCTCTCTTCTTGTGCCTTTGAAAACCTGCCAGAGGGTCAGCTATGAGTTGGTTCCAACTCTAAGGTACACACCAACAACACTCGAATCACAATGAAAACAAGAAAGAAATGAAATAGTTGCAATAAGAAGGCCAAAAGACTGTCTAGGAAGCCATGGTGGTAGAATTCACAGGGAACTGCACTGCTGACCCAAAGGCTGGGCCTCTCTGATAGTGTGAATCCACCAGCAGCTCCAAGAGAAGGATGGACAGTCTCCAGTGCAATCTACTGCCCTGGAAACCCACTGGAGGGTCCACTATGAGTCAGTTTCACTCAATAGCAAAACATTTATTTGGAGTTTTTTGTGTTTTGGGGTAGTTTATATTTTTTAGATTCTCCTAATATTCAAACCTCGAGTAGCGATAATCAAGGATGCTTTAGGCAGAATGTTAAATTATCCAGGAGGTATCAAAAGAAGATGGAAGGAATACACGGAGTCATTATATCCAAAGGAATTGGCAGATACAGAAGAATTTCATGAAATAACATTTGAGCAAGAGCCTATGGTGATGAAGGCAGAAGTTCAAGCTGCTTTGAAGGAAATAGCAAAAAATAAGGCCCCAGGAAGAGATGGTATACCAATTGACATATTTCAGCTAACAGATGCTGCCCTGGATGTGCTCACCAAGTTGTGCCAAGAAATCTAGAGAACCACCACTTGGCCAACTGACTGAAGAGATCTATATTTGTCCCCATCCCAAAGAAGGGTGACCCAACAGTGTGTGGGAACTACAGAACAATCTCATTGATTTCACATGCAAGCAAGATCCTACTGAAGATTATCCAAAAATGACTGGAACAGCACATCAGCAGAGAACTGCCAGAAGTCCAGGCTGGGTTTAGAAGGGGTCGTGGTACTAGGGATATTGTAGCTGATGTCAGATGGATCTTAGCTGAAAGCAGGGAATACCAGAAGAATGTCTGTGTTTCATTGATTATACAAAGGCGTTTGACTGCATGGATCATAACAAACTGTGGCTGACAGAATGGGAATCCCAGAACATTTAATCGTGCTAATGCGAAACCTATACTTGGACCAAGAGGCAGTCCTCAGAACAGAGCAGGGTAACACTGCATGGTTCAGAATTGGTAAGGGTGCAAGCCAGGGATGTGTCCTATCTCCCTATCAATCTGTATGCAGAGCAGATTATGCGAGAGGCTGGGCTCTATGAGGAGAAGTGTGGCATCAAGATTGGTGAAAGATCTACTAACAATCTGCGTTATGCAGATGACAGAACCCTGCTTGCTGAAACTTAGGGGGACCTCATGCACTTGCTGGAGAGGGTCAAGGATTGCAGCCTTCAGTATGGACTGAGGCTCAATGTCAAGAAGACAAAGATTCTCACCACTGAACCAATTGGCAGCATCAGGATGGATGGCGAAGAGACTGAGATTGTTCACAGCTTCAGTTTGCTCAGCTCCACAGTCAACACTCTTGGCACCAGCAGCCAGGAAATCAAAAAACATATTGCGATGATAAAGTCTGCTGTTACCGACCTCTCTGAAGTACTCAAAAGCAACAGTGTGTCTCTGGAACTAAGTTGTGTCTGATACAGGCCATGGTCTTTGCAATCACTTGTTATGCATCAGAGAGTTGGACAATGACAAGGGAGGATAGAAAAGAGAATTGATGCCTTTGAACTGTGGTGCTGGAGAAGAGTATTGAATGTACCATGGACTGCCAAGAAAACAAAAAGATTCATCCTGGGGAGGGTTAAACCAGGCTACTCCTTGGAGGCAAGGATTCTGGGGCTTCGTCTGACATACTTTGGACACTTTGTAAGGAGAGACATCATGCTTGGGAGGGTGGAGGGACAGCGCAGGAGGGGAAGACCCTCTATGAGGTGGATTGATTCAGTGACTGGGGTAATTGGGATGGGTGTGTCAGAGGCAGTGTGATTGGCACAGGATAGAGCAGGGTTTAGGGCTGTTATAAGTCGCAAGTGACTCGACGGCACATAACAACAAAAACAACAATATTATCATGTCAGGACAAGTCACACTAAATTCCATCACTAAGAAAGTGGGATCTGGTCATTTATATTTATGTTTATCAAACCAAATGGTGCATTCAAGAGCACAATCGTCTATTTCTGTCTATCTCATCTCAGCCTCACATGAAAAAAGGGCCAGCTATGAGGGGGAACTTTATTCCTGTTCCTGTCAAAAATGGAGCTTCTGGGTCAGTGAAGTCTTCAGTTCAACTGTTTCCCTAAATGCCTGGGCCTGGTTCACTTCATGGGTCAGATCAGCAGAAAACCAAGAGTTTCCTCTGATCACACATGGTCACGCACAGGAAAGAATACAGATTTTTTGGGGGCTCTTGCCAAAGGCCTGTTTGGTTTACTACTTGGAAAACTACTGACAGGTTGCTTTAATGACTTGATATTTGGTATTACAAATGGAAAACAAATTTTGTCAGGGTCACAAAGCCCAGCCTCCAGTTTCTTTTGTTTTTAGCAACTACCCCTGCCAATCTCCTCTTCAAGGAAACTGCCCAGGTGAAGCTCTCCTAAACTGCTGGAGTCATTACATTTAAGTAGCCATTGAGTATGCACTTTCACAAGCAAATACATCCACTTGTCTGTCAGTTTGCTGTACTGTGGTGGCTCATGTATTGCTGTGACTTGACAGCACTGAACCAAAAAAAAA